GCATTGTATCCTGTTAAGGCCAGGACTTTATCATCTTACTTATACATTGACAAGGCTTTACTGACAGCTCCCCATATATACTGCTCCCCATACATACAGTAGCTGATGTTTTGTGGAGTTTTATACTCGACCATAGTCTTTAGTCTTCGGCCATATTCTTTAGTTTTTCATCTGTCCCAAGATCAGCCTGCATGCTCTAGGTGATACAGTCTAAGAACTTATAGTCTGGAATGCACTACCACATAGTAAGAGAAAATCTGACTGGATGGATGTTTTACTACTGTATCTTGCCCCACACCACATTTGGTTAAAATGGCTTTTAGATTTGTTTTCCATTTTATCGTTTTTATTTCCAGTTTTTACATACAGTACAATCACTTCTGAGATGTTCTCATGATAAGTGGTTTATAAACTAAACATCATGATATTATAGTTCCTTCTGTGAAAATAAGTTGGTTGGTGTGAGTGAAGGTCCAGAAACAAAATGATAGAAAGGCCACAAGTTTCTTGGCAACAATTGATAGAACTGCAAAACCGTTGAACATAGAGAGCAATTTTGTGCTTCGACTGTTTGTTCCAGGTTCATTCACTCCACCCAGCTGACATTCCTGTTTTCAAAATCCCATTACTGGCAGGTAGATAAAAAAATAATAGTTTTGCTACCACCGCTATGTGTAAGATAATGTTCTAGAAATCTAACTAATGTATGTATGACAACCAAACTCTTCTCTCGGCCCAGCACATGGTGTTGAGACTTTTTTTTACAGGTGCAATCCCAAATTCCTAAGGTGCTTCAGGCATCAGTTTCCTCCTCTTCTTATGCACAGCAGCGAATATCCATTTTCTATTAATATTGTGACCACAGACAAAAGAGCCTCCTTTAACATTGAAAGCCCATTTTCCAAAAGGCAATGTGTAGCGCTGGGAAGTCTGTTTGTTTGGTTGCAGTTGCACTCTTCCTGAATTCCTACCAGTTTTCTGGTCACCTGGATAATGAAGACCAGCTGTGAGGATCTTGGATTTAACTCGGTTTTCTTTACCTCTCCAAATGTGTTGCACAGTTGTAAACATAACCAGCATTATACTATACCAGTGCTTTCTTTGTTTTACAAGCCATTTCTGAATCCTATGCAGCTGGCTGTCTTGAAGTGTGGGGCTGTTGTTCAAGGGAGAAGACCGAATGTCCACTATGACAGAGAAACAGATCAGTAATATTGTAATTGTTGTGATCTGTGTGAGAGTTCATCTTGGACTAAATTCTCCTGCAGTGGAGATTCTGCAATCAAGCATCCTTAGTTATACAGTATATATTAGGCAGCCCTCTAAATATCAGCATCCTACTGTACAGTACTGTATATAATGATAATGTTCAGGAAAGCAATTTCCATTTATACAGTATATGGGCATGAATGTTATTAGTAATATTGTTTCTATCTTTGATGAGCACTGTTTTATAATTTCTTGGTCCACATCACTGTTTTCAAAGCCCAAAGTAACAGGTAGAATAACAAGACTCTTTATTTTGCCATTCTTGACCAAACTTCCATAGCCACTTCACATCAAGGAAATCAAGGTTTTCTCTGTCCCAGGAAGTATGGGTCAAGACCTCTGACGTGCTTTTGGAAAGCGGAATCCTTTTTTGCTAGCTGTATGCCAGCGTCACAACACAGCTTTCTCTCTAACTTGTTTTAATCATTTTATTTCACCCAGCGTATCGCTCACAGTGGTGACCTCAAGGTGAGAGCTAAATGGAAGCCTTCAGTATAAATGTTACGCTTTGTTGCTGATTTTATTACAGCCTTTATCATACAGTAAAATGTTCAGAACATGTCAGTAAGTTGATGTGATTCTCAGTGTAACCTGAAAGACAAAACCTACTGCAAAAAAAAACTTTACTTCAGGAAGGGAACTCGGAGAACTGAATTAATCCCTGCATCGTTCCATGTTTTCTGTCAGTTACCTTTCTGTAGTAGTTGATATACAGTAATTTGGTTTATAATCTTCAGCTCTTTTGTACTGTAAATCACCCTTGGTTGTTTTTCTATAGTTTTATTGCTTTTTATAATAATATTAATAATATTTCATTAGTGATGTTTTGAAATTTACAGAATGTAAATGACCCTGATTAGAAACATACATGTCCATTTTTTTTATGCAGAGTGTTCTGTCATCTGCATTTCCAGGAATATAACACTTCTGATTGCTGTTGTTTTAAACATATATTTGAATTTGTTAGGTTAGATTTACAGAATGTATTTATAGAACACATTCTATCAAGGCTGAAATTCAGGTAACTTTGTTTCCAAAGTTCTCAAATTTGTTAATGTCCTTATATTATTGATCCTTACAGCAGCCATAGTGCGCCAGAATGCTCACCACACATCAGCTATCAGTGGGGAAAAGATCAGAGTGATGAAGCCAGTTCATAGATTGAAAATTGAAATGTAATAAAATCTGAAAAGCCACTACTGAGCTGCTGCAGGACAGCATCACAATCAGACAGGCTATGTTTTTTACTCAGGTAATAGTGAAGACAACCTAACTCCCTAGAAAGGAAAAAAGTGTCTACAGTGCAGATCTAACACTGTGCGTTCCCCAGATCAGGAGCAAATCCCACAGCTGGTAGAGAACATTCTTTGGCCAAGACAGCACAGCTGTGTTTCTGAAGCCATGAAGTTTTAAACACCTCACAAGACTACAATTGCTGTCCTGGAGCTTACCTCAGGCTTTTCATTTTCATTCATTCCAAGTTTAAGGCAGGGCTATATGACCTGCAGTATGTCATTGATGAGATGCCTCACAGAAGAATTTGACTTGTGAAATATACACTCTGTGTGCTGTTGAGAAGATACACAGAAAGGATGAATTGCTCCAGCATTTGTCATATCACTGTGGTAAACACTTCATGGAAAACATCAAGAAAAGACAGCTTGCTCAAGGGATAACATTTTATCAACATATATTTGTTTTAAGCCATTGTTACATTGCATAAACCTGTTGTTGAAATGGCTTTGTTTCCCATTGCAGCTCAGGTATCACCTTCTCCAATTGAGAGGTGTTACTCTTGGTCATTAGAGTTTGAGATTCAAAGATAATTGCACATACTCACAAAAAAACCACAGGAGACTGATAAAGGAAGTGTGTTTCGGCATTTTTAACAAGACACCATGTAATTCTGTGTTGTAGAAAACTTTCAGTCGAGCTCATTTCAGAATAGTTCAGAACTCTTATTTGAAGGAAAGAAGTGTATATCAAACGGCAAATTCATTAATACGGGAGATGAATAATAGAAATGGATCACAGAATAAAAATAAAGAAAAAACAAATACAATTCATTGCCTGTACTTATAGTAGAATTTTGGGAGGAGAAAAACTTAAAATAGCAGAACTGGAAAATTCATCAAAGTGCTAAGACATCAGGAGGCCATTCTCTTGTTCCAACTCATTAGGTTTAATATAAAATATGAAGAGCTGTTTGGCTGCGTATTCAGTACTTACTGTTTCAGTCCCAGAAAGCATCTCATTAACAGGCTTAATGAGAGCAAAGCACAATGTTTCAGTGAAAAAAATCTCATATGCCACAAGCTTACATTTCTTATCATGCAAGTGTTGTGACACCTTTTGTCATTTCATATTAAGAGGTTTCACTTGGAGAGTAAAATGGGAAAGTGAGTGCTAACATTGTCTATGGGTATATCTCTCAGGGTACGACAGACAAATAGATTAATGGGATATATGAGCTAAATATTAATTAGGACTGAAGAAAAAAACAAGACTGTATTAATGTTTGGTTACAAATGTATAACCCCTTTACGGCTTCAAAAATAATCTGTATTAAATGAGTTTGCAAACGAAAACCAAAAGAAAATGTTTACATAATTGTAAATGAAGTCAATGGCCCAGAAAAAAATGTCTTGCTACAGGATGAGTCCCATAGCTCAGGAATCTCTGATTCGAGCTATGGTCATTCTTAAATCTTCTGTAAGGTATTGGAGAGCTTGTACAGTGTGTTAGATTATGAATAGCCCTGAAAAGTGTGTGTGATACAAGTCTTCACTCTCCCCCTGCAGGAGCTGTAGAAGCAAACTGAGTATATTGCTAGTTAAAAGCATTGGAGATTTAAAGTTGGTGGTGTTTGTGGAGGTAGAATGCAAGTGTAGAAACTTACAGTACTGTACAAGACCAAAAACCCTCTGATGCCCTACCCTGAAGACTATCATTACCTCAAAATTCAATTTCATAACCCATACATTACTGTGATAATCCATTGCCTCTTGAGCAGAGATACACTGATCACCCCACAAAACAGAGTCTCATTCCAGAGAGAATCCTCAGAATTGTGAAATGTGCTCCTAACTCAAGATTCAATTATTGCAGCAGCAATCACTTGATTAACAAGCATCTGTAAGAAAGTTAGAAGGACACTCTTTCACTCATCTTGCTTGATCCATTTTTAGCTGGCTTGTTAGGAGTTACGTGTTAGTGATGATAAATGAATCTCATCAAAGTTCTGAAAATCTCCTATTAAATCAATATCTCCAACATTCCCAGAAATTCTTATTTTCCTCAGCTCAGTCAGGAAGAATCTGCCTTATCAATGATCAGTACTAGAATAGCATTCTCAAACACGCCTTGACAACTGCAAACCACAAAACGCATCACAGAAACACGACTGCATCCCTAACATCCACATCACAGCGATTGGTAACTGCAAATCTGATTGGGTATCTTTAAAGTCCAGCTTTTCTAAACAATCAACCACCTGCACTATGCCACCAGCTACAGTATGTCAGAGTTCAGGTGTGGCAAGGTCCTCGGAACACACTACAACACCCCACTAACAGCAGGGATCATATAAAAAAAAACTTCCTTCACAAGACACAGGTCACTACAACAGGAAAACACAACCAAGAAAGATGCGTCTGCCCCAAATCCAAATCCGCACACGTGAGAAGGCGATTTATTGTAATCCATTTTAAGTACTGCCCAGAGTACTCTACCTTGAGGCGTTCTTTGGCTTTGCTGTGGTCCTGACTCCCGGAGCCTGCCCCCGTTTCTGCCAGAGTGCGTTCTGCCTCGCTGAGCCACTGCGTTAGACTCTTCATGTCGGCATGGAAACGACGCCACTTCTCTGCAGACTTCTCATACCGCCTAAGTTGGGGAACGAGGAGAGACAGGTTAGGGTAAAGCAGGGGTAACCAAGCAGCATCCACGTGGCTTCACACTGGCAGGTGAGCAATTTCCTGGAGATGCTGATGTGAATATTCACCTCTTCACAAAGTTAAGTTAAAAAACACAAGACTCACTGGCAATACAGCACTTAAAAGCATGGAAACATACACATTTTTTATACATTTTAGCCAGTACAGAGGGAATTGCAGATTGTATTCCCTGGTATCTAGGGAATAGAAAATAGAAGGTTTTGAAGAATAGTGTATTGCTAGTTAGGAGTTATCTCAAATGGTACGCGATGTACTGCGTATATAATGTATGTGTAACACTGTATATCTGGGGAGCTCAGCTTGTCTTGCACACAATTTCTCTGGCACTTTTCCATCTACTCGTTTTATTTTACTTGTAAAGTCAAATGCTGTACTCGGGATAGATACATTATTGAAACAAATGCCATTGCCAGGAAGCTTAAAATCTCTTTACAGACAGCAGAATAAAAGTCTAATCCGTAAAATTATCAGACACTCATATAAAAAAAAATCACACCTGTTACTGAAATAAAGGTTGGAATTACAGCAAAGTCAGATATGATGGCACTTTGCTTCAGTAATTTAGGAAGCATTATTTCTGCCACAGCAGATACAGATTGTTGTCCTTAAGCTTTACTTTGCACTGAGATCATTTAAACATGTCATAAAAAAAAGATCTAATAGTACAGTATATTATCTCTCTAAACATGAACCTCACCAACAGGGCGTGGTCTTATTTATACTGAGTAAATCATGTCATTGTATTGAGTTTTCATAACATTTTATAATTATTTTAATACTTTCATCAGTAGAATTTGAGTTTCTGAGTGCTGAATTTTACTGCATTTTGATTCTTGGTGAACCACACACAATCAACCAAAAGTGCTTAATTAGTGAGTGTTCAAGGTGAATTAATACTTTCAGAGTCTGTTCCTAATACAAGCAGAGCAGGCTATGAGGCTACTGAACTAAATGAGGTCAACAGGCTGAAAGTTCTCTTCTAGCTGGCTTTTATGCATTTAGATATTGTAATAACAAAGCAGTTTGTTATTCTACATTCAAATAATACAGTTGTAGTATCAGTACAGGAAAGCTATCATCATAAAGTAATGATTTTTTTAACTTTACTGGTCTTCTTAAAAATGCTCTAAATACATTTAGTGTATAGAGTATACTTAATAGAGCATATCTGTTTCACGGAGAAGTGTAATCAGTCCAGCAGATAATGGTATTCTTATTTCTCTGTCCTAATGTTAAGTTTAATGAATGGATTTTTATACATGAAATCCGGGGAGCACATTCCCTTTGAAATGCTGGACTGATTGTGGTTTATTGGGCTGAAAGCAATTTAAAATTAAAAATTTTTAATCAGTGATGCACAAGCACGATCATCCAAGTCCATCAGTGCTCCAAAAAACAGTGACATTTAATTTCAGACTATGCTTAATTTTCATGGCATTTGAATCCTCCATCAGCAGAAGCTGTGGTAACACCCGATTGTGTTTAAAATTAAAATATTTCCATTTCAATTTCAATCTTTTATGAGCCATGGCTCATGTTCCATGTTTAAGAGCAATCACTTGGTACAGTAACTATTATAATGCTTTTCATGTTCCTGTCTGATATCTGAATAGTTTGATGTTTAAGTTTTCTTACCACTTTCTACTATTGATGTACTGTATAATCTTTACATGGTATCCAGATGTTTTAAAATCAACATTGTAAAACAGCAAATATAAGCAATTAAAGACTCTTTTTAATTGATCTCAATTTTAAGGCAGTTTTAAAGACGATTGTTTCCATTAGTTTAAATGTTTTTTTCTTTGCTTTAATGTTTTTTCTTTGCCTTCACTACAAGAAAAGACAGATTAAGACTGCGGTACCTTAGGGGCTTCCTGAGTTGCTCAACCAGTGAAGACACTCGCCAGAGCACAGGTTAAGCTCTACGATTCCGGGTTTGAAACTGGGTTCTTTCTCTAGAAGACTATTTCCTCAAGCAGTGGCACACAGCCAGCTGAGAGCCGCCGAGGGTAAATTGTGATTAGATGTCCTGGCCTCTGTCAGCCACACAACACCCCCTGTGCCGTACTGGGTACCTGTTCACGCCTCTACTCCAACCTGCACTGAACCTCCTGAACCACACAGACTACAGAGTCGGCCTATGCTCCCTCATTGTACCCTGTGTGCAGCCACAGGGTTCATAGCTCTTTACTGTCTACCCAATTGCATTTCACTCACACAATTCTGCAAAGTAAGGTATGTAGCTGTGTTCTAAAGGATGGGGTGGATACTTTAAGGAATGTTGTTATAATCATAAAAAAAAGTTGGGCTGTATCACATTCTGGTACTTGGCACATGATATTTTGCTATTGAGTTATGTATTATAGAATCTCTGTGATGAGATCTGCCTTGAATGAATTGGAGAACTTCTGAGACAGCCTAGGAAAAATGTAAAAACACACTAAAATTTCTGAATGCATATGTCTATGAATAATTGGATTTTTACGTCGTGAAAATGTACCCATGTCCCATTTCAGGAAACAGACACCTCTGAAATGCTGAATATTTCAGAAAATATGAGCATTCGTTTATTTTTTAATCTCCCACATTTAACGTATTGTTTAGCATTCATTAAATTCATTGCTAGACCAGTTATAATGCAATCAGAGAATGAAGACCTGGTATGCACCATCTGAAAGATATTTTTCAGGTGGTTCCACGTTAACCATTCTTAAAGAACAGCAATGGTTGTTGGGAACTTTGCTCTGTCCATCACTTACAGTGAAATAATACATTCGACTCACAGCTTACGCAGAGGTTAAGAATGTTGAGTAGTGCGTAAAGCCAAATTTGCATATAGTCAAATTTTACCAAATAACCCTTATAAAAAAAAAAAAACCCTGCTAACTTCTAACCGCAATTCAAGATATTAAATATAAGAATAAAAACAGTAAATAAAAAACAGCTTCATGAATACAGTATGTCTCACGCTCTTTTTGTGATCACATAAATGCTGGATTCATTCATTTCGGGTCCCAATGTCAGAGTTTTCTCACAGAAAGAAAAATGGAGATGGTGATGCTACTCAACGAGAGAGCACAGATGTACTGATGCCGGGTCTCTGAGTCATTCAGTGGGAATGGGGGAGAAAAAACTCATTTCACAGGAGACGACTGTATTGGCTCGCTAACTAGCTCTTGTGGGCATGCTTGACGGATCCTTCGGAGAATAAAATGTTTTTTCAATATTTTTGTTTTATTTTACGGAGCCAGCCGCATAAAGTTGCAGCTGTGTAAGTTGAGAGCGTGTACGGGTAAGTTGCGAGTCGACTATGTGTTCGAAATGTAAGCGCTGCTTGTAATCAAAGGCACTGAGTCTGTTTATCTCCGTAATTAAAACTGGTCCTGTGGGAAAGAGGCATCAAAAATACTCCTTATGGTAAAAAAATGAAGTGGAGAGCTTAGCTACCTTCCATATGGACCTAAACCCTGGAGGGATGATTTAGAAGAGCCAATCAAATGTAACCAAGCACCCAGTGTAAACCCACAGGAAACCGCATCCAGAATCAGAGGATTTCCCCCTTAACTGCACCCTTTGTTTTCTCTCCATCAACCAATTGCCAGTCCAACTGGATGCACCATCTTGAATTCCCATTGCTTGCAAATTGAGACATAATATTTTATGAGCAACTTTATTAAGTGACTTCTGAATATCAAAATATACGATATCATATATTCTGATTATATCCATGACTTCTGTTGCTTGTTCAAAGAATTGTAGCAAATCGGGTAAGCAAGGCCAACCTTTTCTAAATCCATGTTGACTGTACAGTACCTTAGAATCTTACAGCCATATATCCTCTAGTTACGTTTCAGAAGCTATTTTCAAAAACCTTGTATATAACAGAAGTACAGAAGACTAATTTGACTTAATTATTTGGCTGGGTTTTGACAGCCTTCTTATGGATAGGCGCTAAAGTAGCAAAGCAGGTACTTTGTTTCAAAGCAGGTACCTGAGACTTTTAAGACTTTTGTTAACAGACCATGAAAACAGCTCTTGTTTCCTTAAGTAAAGTTAGTAGAAAACCGCAGGGCTGTGGAGATTGGTGTATTGTACTGTAAGGGAGTCTAGTACCTGCCTCTTCCCATTTTAATAGTATTTAAAACAAAACTGTGTTTGCTCAGCCTGAGGCATGTTCTGTGTTTCATACTTTGTAAACATCTGAGTGAGATATCCATTTCCTACATCTGCTACTCCCCTGTTATCATTTTTGTCTGTCAGGAACTTTACTTTATCTTTCATTTTGTACAATGTTGGACATCAGGTTATAAAAATGGCACTCTGGCATCTTGAAAGGAGCACATCCTGGGGTCAGGGATGAAAAAAACAGACCAACAATATTCAGATCAAGAATACGTGCTTTTTTAAAACACGCAGAATTCGTTCAACTATTTATTGATTAAGAGTTTTGTCTGTATGCACATTTGTCAGGGTTTTCAAAAATACACCAAGAAAATAAACAAAGAAGGAAATAAAGAAAGTGAAGAGGTTGCATTACATGGCATTCTGACATTTCAAACAGCAATGTCCTCTACCTGTTTACTTTTAATGTCTAGACTAGTATCCTGGGAGGGAAAAAAAGATCAGAAAGAAGACAGTTCATGAACCCTTAACCCTAGAAGACAGCGCAGTTCATGGCGCTGAATTTAGACACCAGATACAGTACACAGTCTTGTGCAGGACATTCACATAGCTGCCTGCATCAATTAACTCTTTGACCGCGTCCTGGGAAATGTATTCAGCGCCGTTTTCAGCAGTACTAGGATTGAAAGCATATTTCCTGACCGATAATAAGCATGGCGGAGGAAACAGCAGCTAGTGGATTCAGGGCTACTCCTGGTTTGCTGACTCTCTTATGTGCCAAAATGCAAAAAGACCTGTAGCCATTAATAGAAAATGAGAACAGTTAGACCATTTTGTAAACCATTAACCAATCAGCTCTTCCCGGCAGTCCATTAAGCAAGCAAGAAAAGAGATAACAGTGAAAGTACCAGCCTGAGGGGGATCTGACACAGCTAATGTTTGCAGTGGTAACACTGATTGACATAGTTGCACAGAAGAGAATTTCCCAAAAGTATCTAGTAAGATCTTTAATATCAAAATGCAGGTCAGAACCAGCTTAAAAATATATAAACGTGAACAGACAGACCATGAAAGCGTTCCAACAACATTCCCTATTTCGGATGACATTCCAGAACAAGTCCATAAACTGGCCTGTCCGTGATAAAGGTTCCTATGGAATGAGTTCTCAGTTATGTTCTGTCCACTGGATTTCTGCATCCCACAATACAATCATAAGTGTTTAAATTATTTTAAGCTGGGCACTGTTGTTACACCCAGTCGAGTTCAAAGGAAAATAAACCAGATTGTGGCACAAATTGTTCAAAACCACTCACTGCAAAAAGCATGTACTGGAGGAAAACAACTCGTTTATACAGTATTACTGAAAAGCAACACGTGCTGCAGAATTGTCTGTCACCATGACAATGCCTTAAGCCCAAGTGCACAGTAATGAGCCGCTGCCACAGGAACACAGACCAGAGAAGAGTTGGGAGTTTTTAATTTTTCATTCCCCAGAAATGGGAGATTACTTTTCATTAAAGTTTGTTTTCCTACTGCATACATAGAAACCAATGATGGCTGAACTGAAACAAAACTGTCACCTAGTGTTCGGCTATTTGTGGATCAGAACCTTGAAACCCGATCACAATCAGCTAGTGACATTACTGCTGAAACCTGCACCATCCTGGTCACATACAGTAGCTCAATCTGCTTTTGTACTGGTTGAACCACTCTAACTATACAGGTTTGTATCTCCAGAAACAATTTTTCCTCTCTCGAACTACAGTCCTGGTCCAATGTCAGCTCCACAATATTCACTGTCTGGGTTTATATACAGTACATGTCTGTTTTCACAGTCCCCACTTGGAATCATAAATTCTAAATTACAGACCTAAGTGTACAATAGCTGCTCATGCATTTTATAATATGATACAACAAAGACTTTCTGTAGGTGTCATGTTTCTCTCTCTACCAATAATTAGTTCAAACAGATTTCTATTCTGGAGGTAAACTGTTTAACTGTCTTTCAGAAGAGGTCAGAAGCAGATATAATTTAATCAGACTTGAAAGTAAAGTGGTGCTTGAAGTCTGTAATTATAATTATTTGATAGTCAAGCCATTTGAAATTCAGCAAAGAAGAAAACATCTAGTAAGAATAAAAATAATATGCATTTACAAAAAATAAACTAATAATATAAATACAAATGTAAATTGATTGCATCCTTTCTGATTTAGGTTTCTTAATTTAATATTGAGTTGAAAGCCCACACATTTCTAACACATACACTTTATGAATATTCTGTTTTTAGATCTGACTCCATTGAAGTACTTCACTTTTACTTGTTTTTGTAGAACAGACGTAAGCACACATGGGTATTCTACTGGCAATCACAGGAGCCCACAGAGATGCTGAATGTCATTGGTGTTGGGGTCATGCTGTTCTCATTTCAGACCTGTGGCAGTAAATGCAGGATGCTATAACAATTAAATGAAACAGACATGCAGATATGCTCTTGAGTTAAAAATATCATCAGCAGGGCTTCAAAACTGGTAAGTACTGCAGCACATGTGTAGGCTTTCATTTCCATCTGAACAGTGTGTCACGAAATCATAAAGTCTTTTACATCTCCTTTTGGTGTGTTTTGCGAATATTTGTTTAGAGTTCTTTTTTGGATCATAGGTGATATTCATTTTGAAAACGTCCATAGAAAAATAGCAGAAATAGCAGTCTATCCCAGATGCCTCTGCAGAAATCTATTTATGTCCTCTGTAATCTCAAATTGAAAATGCAATATCTAAAAACCAAATTCAGCAATATGCTATATATACAGTATATACAGAAAAGAAAATTGGGGATAGAGCTTCTTGCAGATACAGACTCCCTGGCTGAAATGGGACTGAGCCCTTCATTAATCACAATGCTACAGACCACTGGCTAGGTGACAGACATCTTATTATTCATTCAGATGTGACTATACTGTATGTGTGTGATGCCTGAAAGTCCCAGAGACAAAAAGAGAATTCAATAGTGTTGGATTTTTTTCCAGGCTCTATATTGGAGGTGCTAGCTTTAAATCTTTTAATATTTACCTGGACATGAAAGATTGCTCTGTCACTAGCAGTATAGCCATGTGGGGGTTTTTGCAGTCCTTTAGAAATTATGTGGAAGCTTCTTTTGGTTAAATAAGACCCTTTAGTAGAATTTCCCACTTAATTTTTTTGGATCTGTCGACATACAGTATACTTGAAAAAAGTCAACTGGCTGATTTTTCTGATGGACATTACATTTCGGTTTCTAGCTAGGTAGAATGTACGTAAGACAAAATCACATTTTCACAAGCACTGACTGCAGAGTAGCTCACATTTCATGCCTATTTAATTTGCACTGGATAGTATACCTGAAGAATTTTTCAAAGTGGGTTTTCTCTAGGTTTTCCACTTTCCTCCCACCTTCCAAAGCCGAGCTGGCTGGGTTAATTGGTGTCTCTGAACTCTGTGTGTGTGTGCGTGCCTGCGTGCCTGCGTGTGTGCGCGCCTGCGTGTGTGCGCGCCTGCGTGTGTGCGCGCCTGCGTGTGTGTGTGTGTGCGTGCCGGCCTGCGTGTGTGTCTGCCTGTGCGTGTGTGCTTGCCTGTGCGTGTGCGTGTGTCTCTGTGCGTGTGCCTGTGTGTGCCTGCGTGTGTGTGGAGTGGTCTCCACTGCAGGCTGTGGTTCTGCCTTGTGCCCTGTGCTTTCAGAACAGATGCCGGAGAACTGCAACCCCTGGCATATGCCATAGAAACATGTGGCTTTCTGCTAGTGGATGCAAGGATTTTATTCTAAATAAAGGCAGCGGTAATGTTATTTGAGTGCTTCCTCATTTCATTCTCAGGCATTTAAATATTTTAAGGTATCATTTCAGAACTGTTTCTGACCCACAGGCCACGACTGTTATATAATTGTGCTGGGAGAATCAAAACTGAGCAATACACCCATTTTTTTATGGAGATTTTTTTAAAAAATGCACCAGTGATTTTCAGAAAAAGTCTTTTAGCAAAATCATTTTTCTTGTAACACAATTAGCCCGTAATGGATTACAAATATTGACTCCTTATTTTCATTATTTTTTTTAATTTTACAGAGCGTGTTAAGTTTTTAATTCCTCCAGATGAAACATGGGCCTAATTCCTGTGTTATTTTTTAAATCTGTGTTCTTTTGGTCTGCAAAGGGACATTTTCATTAAGAACAAAATGCTGTTCATGTGTAATTTTACAGATTGGAGCGAGAGGAAAGCTAGGTATTATTCCTTTCTGTAAACTGCTGTGGTTTATTCTCAAAGCAGTAATCCGTTCCTTTGATGGAAGACAACGTCTTGCAATGTATGGGAGACAGTGGTGGGCCTAAAAGCTTTTTTGGAAGTTTTCCAGAATGCGTGGTGCAGATATTCAGTCTTTCAAGGTATATCATTATTATTATTGTGTGATAAAATAATAAGTAATATATTATTATGTGATAAAAAGTTATATTTGTCATAAAAATAATTGTAGAATTGTAAAAAAAAAAGCTTCTTAGTGCAATCCTGCATAGACTGGCCATGGAAAATGTAAGCATAAACATGATGTAACAAGAATTAACAAAGGTTCAAAAAAGCTTTCTTGTGATGCCAATGTCTCTGCTGCTGGATAGTGTCAAGGAGAGATATGTGCACGATAGCATTTTTTAGAAGTTTCACAGGTTGAGAGGATTTAAGATAAATGACAGGGTCTCAGGGGCACTTTGAGCAAGCACATTCTAATGAGGTGCTATTATTAAAATGCTGCTCATTAGTTTTTAAACAATTTAGTTTTACACAAAAGAACAACTAAATAAAAGCAACAGATACAACACAGGTACATGTAGCATTCATGTTCATGTTAAGAAAACAATTAATTGGGTGCACTCTGTTGAAGCAGATGCCTCGATCCCAGTTCCTGACATCAGTATGCTTCTTGTATCAGATGAAGCATGATAGACTAAGCAGGTGTTGTCTAATTTTAACATTATCGGAAAAGAGAAAAACGTTCATTGTAATATTGCTGTGAAACTAAGCCACATTCAGTAGTTATATTGAAAAAGCAAGCTGCACCTGGAGGGATCTACAGTATTTAATAGAGTTTAACCCACATTTTCTTCACTGTAGGTTTTTATTTTATATAGAATATTACCATTTTGTTTTTCCCAGCATATAGCAAAAGGCATTTTAGGGACACAAAGTACCCAGATCATCCATTTTCCATAAAACAATGTATGTGTAACAGAATCATATACCGAACAATATACGCAGTTCAAGAAAATGCTGGTTACAATCTGTAAAGTATTTTACTTCAAACATGTGAAGGTGCACAATTGATCTTATTTTATGATTCACCAGGGAGAACATGCTCAGCTTTCTGGCACTCAGAATGCCTATACGAGAAGAAAAGAAAGTTCAGAAATCTCATCAGTACTTACACCTGCCTGTCCTTGTACAACTTGTTCACTTTCTCCCAGTTAGTATCAAGCTGCCGGGCAGAGTCCTGGATGTGGCTGTATTCCACAGGTGAGGCGTTCTGAAGGACTGCAGATCTCCTGCTCTGGGCATTCCCCACTGGGCCAGCCAGCTTGGTCAGACTGACTTTTGCATCCTGGGAGAAGATGCAACGTGACAGTAATGCATGACAACACCAAATAGAAAAGAGGAAGACAGCTGATGGGTCTCATGAAACAGCTTTAGCCTATGACCATTTGCACACGTGAAATTTATACAATTAAGATAAGCACTTACAGTACTATTAGCTAAGCGATGAAACCTATTTCAATTTATTAGCAATACTTATGTCTTTAGGTATTCAGGCCTACCTGTTTTGTACGTCCAGTCATACAGACACAATTCATTTTGCCTACTGCATAAATTTCAATATTTACTTTAGGGTTACAAAATTGAATGCTTACATTGTTTGTTTTTTTTCTTCGATAACTACATATACGAGTACATATACAGGCCACGTCTGAAAGACTGAATGACAGGATATACTGTATAAGACATTTTTCAGTGGTTTTTATATGTGTAAATTAATTATTCACTAATAGGCTTCAGAGCCCACCGAAGCCGTGCACACCATGTATAATGTCCAGGAAATATTATACAGGTATATGGGAAAAAAATAGAACATGGCTTCTAAATAACATTCACTTGCAAATGGCTTACACTAAACACAGAACTGGAGAACATCCAGTGGAACCTTTCCAAGGTATTGGAAAATAAAAGTATTTATAATCTGCTGAAGCAACAAAGCCATATAAACTTTCCTTTAGGATATTTTCCAAAAAAGTTGCCACAGTTAGTAAACCCTTACCTCCTGATGTGATCAATGAGCATTATAACACAGGCTTTGAAAGATTGCAACAGTCTACTTAGCTTTATGCAATGCGATCCCACATGCGCAGATGCTGTTAGCTTGTGGTCATACCACCTCTCTAAAGATTACAATCCAGCATTCATATGTTAATACCAGCAACAAGAAATGGTCCAAATCTTTTTCAATAATATGTAAAACACTTGAATTTTTCCTAAGGCTTTCCCAGGACACACTGAAAGAGGAATTATGCTAATAAGAAATTAACATGAATTATAGCCATTCTGATGTGCACATTTGCTGGGTTAAAGGAATTGGTAAATATATCACATGGTTAAGGACTGCATCTCCAGATACTGTACTAATACTCCATGAAGCTCACATAAACATCTGATGAACAAGATTCTGCTATGAAGACCGCACGGACTTAACATACAGTACGACTAATTTATAGGAAATACAATTTGTATGCATCCTCTGCTGCAGAAACTACAATAAGATGCCAATAAATAATGCTCACCCAGAGATGAATGGGTCACCTGTTGACTTTAAAGACAGCCCCATTTAGTGTGACTGCTTTAAATTGCAATCACACTAAACAGCAGAGTAAAGCTATTCACTTTGTAAATGTTGTATTCAAAATAACATTTTCTAAGTCTGGATTTAGCTCTAGGCCCTTGTTATTTACACTATAACTGCTGTCTAACATAATCTAGCATGAGACAAGCACAATTACAACTCAAAAGAGGGACAAAATTATATAAAGTATCCATTCAGTTCTGTCGCATTAAATGAAATGATTGATTAATTTCTTTTAGCTAGTGTCCTTCACTTTACATTATTTGTGCTAGAAGTGCATCTTATTTATTAAAATTAAGGATTGCAGTAAGAAAAGGACATTACTTCTAAGCATTAAACAAATTGAGCTTCCTTATGAATGTAACATAAAGAGGAAAATGTACAGTAACTGATAACAAGAGACGGGGTATTTCTGTAAAGATACACTTTTTGGGGATCTATTGTGTTATTGATTTCTTAACATTCTTGCACATAATGTTTATTTTTGGCTATGTTCTGTAAAAGGTAAACGATAATGGTATTGTCACCTTCTGACATATAACTTCTTCAGTCTAAATTAGAGTATTTTATGTTGCTACAGGTTTATTAGTCAACTCCTGTAGGCTTTCCATTTAGCCAGTTAAGAAATTAGGCTTAAAATCTGTAAATTATTTTGAGGTATATGACTGCAAAAGGGGAAGCCTGTTGAAGTATATTTGTGCAACAAACAATAAACAGTTTACAACCCAGCATATCACAGCAAAGGCAAAATGAGAAGGAACAAAACCCCAAAAATCTACTGGGATAAATGATAAAGTACTTGTTGTTTCAGTGCTTTTGAATATCGTACCAAACAAAAGCTTATGTTAAGGGATGTTACATTATATTTAATATGCTCATCTATAATATGGGACAAAATTCTGGTTATAATGTAACCAGTAAAAGGGATGCAGAGAACTTCATGTTTTTAATATTGACCTGATTTAAGTATTCAAAATCCTCAAAGGCACTATTGAAGTAGACTAACCCAATGAACTTCAGTTTTGGGAATAGTTTTGGCACTTTGTTTACACAGAGAGTTATGGGGGCCTAGAGACAAGCTATCCGGGCATATTGAAGCTGATACCTTGACCTCTTTCAAGAAACAGCTTTCTTCCAGAAACATCTTTGGGTCAAATAGGTACTCACAACCAAATCAGCTGGACAGGGTTAATGGCCTCCTTTCCTCTATGATCTTATTTGTTTTCTCAACATTTCAGAATTTTACACTTCTAATCAGTTAAAGTAAACTTTGTTAAGTAGATTATGTACAATGGGTGTCTCAAGGCTGTTGGTTAGATTTCAGTTAGAAAAAGACTGAAGGTCTGGTATATTTTGTCTGCTGCATTATCTGATATTGTTTAGAGTACTAGACCAAGACAACAAAACAAATGTGCCAAATTTCTCATAACTTGAGTAACTTAAGAGAGATCATATCCAAGTGCCCTCACTGTCTAGACTTTTTATGTACTATGTGTTAGTGGAGAGAAAGAAAAGTTACTGAGTTACTGAGAAAAGTTACTGATGTTACTGAGAGTAAATTTACAGTATGTATCTTCCTGTCAGGGTTTCCAAAATTAATGATCAAGGGTAAATATAAGACCTCAGTAAAAGTGAAATATGTTAGGATCCATCTTTATTTGTTAACATGCAATTATTAGACAGGAAGATGCAGTAGATTCTTAATTCATTAAGAATAACTGAAAAGTTTTTGCCTTTCCTGTACCATCTCTCCTGTATCTTTTGAGATACCTTGCACATGCAGCACTATTCAGATTATTTCCTTGGCAGAATTTGAGACCCAGAGTACAACAAATGAGTTCAACCATTACATCAATTAGAATTTGAGACACAGCAGAAGCAGTTATTAACACATAACTGTTTATTTCAAAGGATGACTATTTTTACATATCACATATATACTGTACTTTAATACTTTTACCAACAATTCTTTAGAAAAATAGCTTGATTGGTGATTGGTATTGCTGTGGTCAGTAACACTGATTGGTCCACAATGGTTAAAAATATTTAACAGTGATTCAGATTTTCTTAATTACTTACAAACGTATTTTTATGAAAATAACGTGTATAACTCACTGTATAATTAACTATATCAAAAACTATGGTATCTTATGCTACTGACATCATGTTACGGTAAAATCAATAAGCTATCTTGTCACACACATATTTTGATTTTTATGGACATTTTCATCTTTTTGACAAGTTGTGAATAATAATATCCTGAGTCTCTTACAACAGTCACTTAATTTTAGGTTCATTTTCCCAGACGTATAGTAGTTCTTGTCACCAAGGTGTCTGCCTATCTTCATTCTAGCTGAGCTCTACATCTCCCTGTAGCTCACAAGTGACAACCCATTGAAGCTCAGCAGGTGTGAGCCTGGTCAGTACCTGGATGGGAGACCTCCTGGGAAAAACTAAGGTTGCTGCTGGAAGAGGTGTTAGTTGCGCCAGTAGGTGGATCAAATTTCCCCATTACAGTAATGGAAACACTATACGGTAAAAAAGGCGCTGTCCTTTGGATGAAATGTAAATCCGAGATCTGGACTCTCTGTGGTTATTAAAAATCCCAGGGCGTTTCTTGAAAAGAGTAGGAGTGTTACCCCAGCATCCTGGCCAGATTTCCCCCTGAACTTTACCAATCATGGCCTCCTTATAATCCCCATCTATGAACTGGCTTCATTACCCTGTTCTCCACACCGATAGCTGATGTGTGGTGAGCATACTGGCGCACTATGGCTGGTGTACACATCATCCAGGTGGGGCTGCACACTGGTGGTGGAGGGGAATCCTAAAGCACTTTGAGTGGAGTTTCCAGAAAAGCGCTATATAAGTGTAAGCAATTATTATAATTATTAGAGGTACTTATTTGAATTAATATTTTAATTCATACAGTATGTATAATCATCTTGATCTATTAAAACATTGCAAATGTAACTTGAAATCTTTATCAATTGTAAGAGCTGAAAACAATAATAATAATAATAATAATAATTGCTTACACTTATATAGTGCTTTTCTGGACACTCCACTCAAAGCGCTTTACAGGTAATGGGGACTCTCCTCCACCACCACCAATGTGCAGCATCCACCTGGACAAAAACATTATTCTAATCAGCCACATTATTAGTTTAATAAAGAGTTCAGTTAAGTAATCAAGAGCACCTGATTCTTATTACTTATTTCAGTTATGATGCTTGCCCACTAAGTTATGCCACCACTTCTATTGTATATACTCTCAGTACTCAAAATAATTTTGCAGGCCTTTATCTTAATTAGTTGAAGCACAATTTACAAATGTCCACAAAAACTATAAAAAAGAAGGTAAGACAATTCAGCCCTTTGCAAACCAGAATGCATTTATGGTTTTAAAGTGTTATTATAGTTGTGTGCTATAAACTACATATGATGTACTGTAAAGCTGGCAAAATACAGAGCCTGAAAGGACCATTATTTTTTCACATGAAAAATACCTTTAGTATACTTCAAGTATAAGTAGTATACTTATACTTTACAAAAAAATCAAAATCCAAGATAAAAAAACTGACTTGGAATGATTTAGTTCAAAATACTGTATCTAACCCTGCCCCCTCCTGCATGTGACTCTTAACCTTACAGACAAATCGCTTAACCCCTTCACTAAACAGTAAGCAGCATTTTCCTTTTTTAGTGCCAGTTATTGACAGAGATGAATGCTTTCAGAAGGGAATAAATATTCATTGAAGGTTCTCCAATTAAACGTATAATCTTCCCACATCCTATGAGTGCACCAGACCCATCTGGCTTTTGCCAGAGATTTATTTGGATTTCAGATGGAATAGTGCCCACAACCACATCTCTTGACAATTTAATAGTCAAGCTAAATTAAACCAATGGCTGTACTTACTTGTAACCACAGCAATCAATATCATTAAATATGGTGTCAGATACTATCATATTAGATATGTGTGAGGGAACAGGTGATTAGCTGAAGATGTAAATCAGTCATTATGGGTCTACAGCTTTAAGAAAGACAACTTTCTATTGGTGAGTATAATTTTTTTTAGGTCAATAATCTCTCTGACAAATCTCCCTCACATATTGGAAGAACAGTCAAATAAACCCTTGTCATTCATTTTTAATTAACAAATTAAGTTTAAACAGCCACTTTGTGGTGTGGATGAAATTTTCTGAGGCAACTGTATAGAATGATGTAGACTGACATTTAAAGATAATATGCAGGTAATCTACTTAATGAGGAAACTAATTAAACACTTGAGACTGACAGCAGGATTCAAAAGGGTTTGTTTCAGACAGGAAGGGCTGTATAAAGACACATGTAATGAAATAGTTGAAAGTGAAAACCCAGTGGACAAGATGATACAATTCTGGTTTTAAACAAGACTCAAAGAAGAGAACAATGCTGCCCCAGCCTACTGGTACTGCTCTCATACAGTTGAATTCTCAGAGCTTAGGAAACAAGTTTCATTTCAAACTCCCATGCAGAAACTCCAATCTTATTCCACAGTCTTTCAATGAAATGTGAGGCTGTTTTTTTATTCTTGTAAAAAAACATACTTCACTACAGTAGCTTCTAAAGCCTGCGGTTCTGAAATAATGTATGATTGTACCCTCCATGATCAACTAAATCTACTAGAGATAACCAATCAATAACCAATCAAGATTACTGATTTGTTTGCTTCTTTAAACTTTCAGTCATTCAGCTTGATGTGTGTTTTGATTTATCATCTTGCAGTATATTTCCATGGAAATCTACTGTTCACAGATGACCTTGTGAATTTGGGGGTAAGGGGTAGTCTTGGAAGCCCTGCATCCCAATGATGCCAGGGCTTCAAGTTAAGTAAAGTAAAGTAAAGCCCTGTTTGGATGCACCTTTCTGCCTGCACTTTTGGGTAAAGCTTTATGCCCTCTTCCTGGTGGAGTAGCAGACAGTATGTTAGCCTTGACCATTTTCATGATGGACTCCACAGTCAATACTAGGGTGCCTTCACTTGGCATCGATACTCCTTCATCTGAGGTCTTTGGACAGTTTTTCTCCTGTGTTCAGCCTTCTTGAAAACCCAGTAGCAACCAAGGAAACTTTTAAAAATACAGAAGATAATCTAAATAAACACCGGTACAAGTATTAAGAAAAGAGCACAGGAACTTTTCCTACTGGAATTGTGCACACTTCTTTCATCTGAGCTCCAGAGAGAAATGGATCTGGTGTTTTAAACTGAGACTGAATTAGAATGAAACTCGATGTAATAATAATAAATGACTTGAATAGGTTTTCATTTATTGAATACCTGTAACTAGTTTGTTTTCCTAACAAGTTCATTTTCCCAGTTCTTTTTAATTAAACAGGGCTCCTTTAATGCAAACACATAATTAGGCCCGCCAGGCATTTCGGTGCTAATTCTGCACCTTACCACTTACATGAATAATGAAAGTGCATTTAAAAAAAAAAGATTTTCTTTCATCCTCGTTTGGTGGTGTTCACTATAACCAATTCCCATTAGGAAAAAAAGTATATTTTTATTATCTATTTATTATTATATATTTCAGTCCTAATTTAAGGCATATTTCTTCCACCACACCTTTTCCAGAAAGGAACCTTATTGAAAACCTCCAGTAGGAGAAGATGGTTTGCTATTATTACTGAATGAACATCTGTGACACAGTAACATATACTATATTATACAGTATTTAGTCTATAATAATATTCTCAAATCATGATATTCCGGTGGTCCTATTTCAAGAAGCAGGTGCATAGGGCATCACAAAAAGCCCTTTATCTTCTCTTGTGTGATAACGGGTATGTGGGCCTGCTGCCAGGCCTGCTTAATATCCCCTGCCAAGCCTCATCACCTTGACCTGCAGAAACCATCTTCCATCAGCGCTAGAGGGTAAGCAAGCGTTGGCATTTATTCACTAAAAGGACCACTGCCAGGTTGATTTGAGCAGACTTCATCTGATTTGTGTCTGCACGCACATGGGGCCACGCTGAATGACCTTGGCTTGTTCGACAAGAATCTGCATGGGAGTCCACACAGATGAGTCCAGGTCATTTTCGAATGCGGCGGGACTCGAAGCTAAAAGCGTTCGAACATGCAAAAAATGTGAAGTTTTAACAGGAGCAAAGCTCTTTGACAGCGTGGCGGCTCAAGCTCATAAGTTCTTGAGCGGACGTTCATCCGCTCAGATGGAAAAAACAAAACAAAACAGAAAACAGATCATAATAAAACCGTACTGTTTCATTTTATAGTTACAGCAGTGAGACTTTCAGCAGGATCCTTGTGGGATACTTCTGTGGAAATACGTGAGGTGCTTTTGCACGCCAGGTACCATGTTTCTATAGAATATAAATGTGAACATTTGTTCATTTTTGCCCCATGCAGATATTTCTCCTCATTAAACGAGGTTATCCTTGCAGAACATATGTATTCATAAGACTCACAGGAAGAAGCAGCAGGTGGAGTTCAATTATAAAAGGGTCCAATGCTATTTTGTATTGTAGCCCAAAAAAAAGAACATCAGTCTAACCAAAGTGGTAAAAACTGTTAGAACTGCTACTGTACTTGCACTGTGGGTTGGCAGTTCTAAGACGTGGATGGCAGGACAATATACAGTACATTTCCAGAGGAAGCAAGTATGCAGTTTTCTTCACTTCGTGGCAGGTACAGGGGTTATAATAATGGGCTGAGATGATTGACAATTGGTGCATATACAGTATATGTTCCACATTTAAATTGTATGGTGTGATTGGCAATAAAAAAATGGTGACGTGCATTGATAGGTAAGCTCTTCCTGCGGAAAGGGGAAAAGGCTCAGAAAAGTCCAACCACATTGTATTTAATACTTTATATTTGACATTATTTGTTTCACTTAAATAATTAGAGACTACTAGACATCTGTTTATTTTTATTTTATGCAGTACATTACTGCAAAATGAATGCAATTGAAAAAGAATGTAATACTGTATAAATTTTTTCTTCTCGCCTCCAAGAGAAAATGAAAACATTCAGGCTTTCAATAGACACTGTAGGGACATATTAATGGTCAGGTACACACCGATTCATTAAACACAAAAAGCAATTAACTTTATTAATACGTAAACTGGACAGAATATTTAAGGTATCTTTAATTAATATGATGAACAGTCATGAATTCTAAACAAAAATCCAATTTTGCAAGAAGTACTCTATTTGCATTCATTCACCTAGGGTTTTGTATATATTCACCTCACCACACACAGTGATAGTGTGTCGCTCGGTGAGTTAGAAAGCAGCTCATATTGACTGTAATTGCTTTAAATTTAAGATTTTTATATTAAGCCGTGAATATAATGTCGTCGGGATTCACCGAGACATAAACCAGAACGGTTTAATTAAAGCTTACAGCTTAAATCAGAACGAATTTGATTGAACTGCATCTAGCTATACAAACATGAGGTAAATGTAAGTGCCATTAATCAAATTAGTAACTGCCCAGAAACCAGAAGCCCTGCTACTGTAGTTCCGTCACATGCACTCCACAGCTCTCCTGCCCTCCTCTATGTCTCCTGAGCGCTCACCTTCAGACAGTCTTCTTGCTTGACCAGGTCATGGTAGGCTCCGGCCCAGTACTCAGGGGAGTTGAGGAGGAACTCTATCTCCGCTACAGAGTGCAGAAGCTGGCGCAGCTCTGCCAGGTAGGTAGAAGGCACATGAGGGCTCTCCGCAGCTGGTCCTTCAGTCTTTACCACTCTCGTCTCCTCGTAAACCGAATGCTGGGTTTAGACACACAATGACAATTACATTTCTTTGTACTGTACGAGCAAACGGCACGGATGCATTCTTCTTGTTGAAAGTAAAATGAAAAATATGGCCAAACACAAACCTGACAACTGTTCCGTATTTTTTTCAAAATATTTAACGGTGGATTTGATAGACATACCAGAGGTATATCATAAGAATATTTTGAATATCTGTAATGATATATTTCAAGGTGTTCATATATATTTATATACTCATATATTTATACAGATCATTTTTAAAATGTACTATAAAATGTACTATAAAGGCCACACTAAATATCGAGATTGGTACAATATATACAGATTCAAGCCAATGGTGATAGGCTGGATGGGCTGGTAAAATAACTTTTCTATTTAGAAAACGCTTAATTTCCAACAGAAAGTCTCGTTACTGGGGGCGGCTTTAAATTACATACTGTAGAATAACTTAACCCTCCCTACGGAGAAAAACAAAGTTTTCTCTTCTGGCTTATTAGTTTGCCCAATAAAAACACCTATTTGATGACCAAACATTTCAACTGCCAATAAACCCAGGGAAGCCATTTCATGCAAGTGTCCCTTTGAATGTTTTTGTTCCTGCGTCTTTACTTTCTTTGTGATAGCTTTGGCTTCTTTTCTACCTAGACTTTGCACCCTTCACAAAGTATTCAAATTATTTCACTACCATCATCTTTAAAGACGCCAAAGGAAACCTCATCCTTTCCTCTCTTTCACCTGTCACTTTCAGACATTCTTTGCTGGAATAACTACTACGAAAAACAAACTTTGCAGAAACAACATCAGAGAATAAAGCATCTGTCTTATCTTTGCTCACTTGGTTTCTAGCAATCAATATCTATCCATGAATCTTAAAACTATTTGTTAAAAGTATCACCAGGAATCGGCATCAGAAAAGATGGTTTTGTTTTCTAAAAAAATCCTTTAAACGTCATGTGTATATGCATGTGCACTTAATTTCAACTTCTGTCCTCTCAGCAGAGAACAGATCAATACCATAACTCATCACTCATTATGATGTTTCTTATTCTCGCTTATCTGCTTCAGTCCATACATTACTTCAGCTTATACCTCCTGATCTTCTCTTTTCGCTCACTTCAATTCAGCAGATGTAAATCAAGCCAAAATCACGACAAGTACAGTATAATTTCTGATTTGCTCTCGGTGCTCCAGGTAATCTATTTCAAGAGCATCTCTAAGACTGAACCAGTGGCACGGATGTGAGTATGATAGGGAAACTGTCTAGTGAGTCTGCCCTCAATAATTTATAAAAGCAGACGAAGCATAAAATAAGCATTAGATTGGGATACATGTTGTAAACCCTGAACTCGGCTCATCTGAAAACCACTGCATAAGAATAAGGCAGATGCATTAGTGTGTAAATTAAAATTATAGGATAAATAAATACAACAAGGATTATTTGCTGACATGGGAAACGTAAAATAGTTTTGACTACACATCTTTTAGAATGTATATACGTACACAGTACAGTAGCAGCTTTCATTAAACACAAAAAAATGTTAAACATTACGTCACCTCGGAAAGACATTACTTTTATAAATAAAATTGTTGCATTCTTATTTGTGTGTCTATACGCTTGTATAAAAAGAGAAAATACTTTGTGACAGGAGACTATTAAAGCATTGTTAATCTGTTAATTGTTGACACGATTACTCGTCTGATTCTGAGTTTGTGAAATCTCAGAAGCAAAGCCATGCTGGTTCTGGAAAACCAAGTGGTTGCTGTGAGTGGTGGTAGTAGTAGATACTGGTAAGAAGTGCTCTTGCTTCTTGATCAGAAATTCCAGAACACTGCTGGAGTATGTGGAAATTTACAGATGAAAATTTAAACTGACTGTTTAGTCATTAAAGATTTCTTGGTACTGTTCACAAAATCATGAGTGTTAACTCCAGTATTGTGGATACATTTCAGTCTGGGTTTGTAAATTCTCGTGAACCTAAAGTTTCTTAATTTTCTACCTGATCTGGTGTGTAGTCAGGCTGTTTGTGCACATTAAGTGCTAAGCATTTGCAAGTGTAGCTCTTTGGGAAGAAAAACAGGACAGTAATGTAAAAATTTGTGGTTATTAGTAACTTTAAATTTAAGTTTGCAACATGCTTCTCCTGTGAACGAAGATAATCTGAGTGTACAGCGTTTTTTTTACAATTTATTTTTAAGTTTCAGATTATAAGAAGTCAGCTGTAGTTTAATTAGGTAGTATATTAATTACCCCCAATTTCTAATCAGCTTCTCCCTGAGAAAAATCTCTGACTATAGCCCTCATGCTCCAGTTCACTCAGGTACCTGTGAGGTACTGTACCTGCAGTAAGACAATCTGAATGAAATCTGGCCATTCAGGAATGGCCAATAAAAAGATATTTATTTTGATCCTTGCCTAAATAATATGATTTATACAGTGTACGGATATACAGTTTATCAAATGTTTGATCTGCTATCTATACTCAATTATATTGCAGTGACAGCGCACACTTGTGATTGTCCCAGACTTGGTCACATTTCACAACATGTGGCAGACGATAACTGTGTCAACTACAACACTTGGGTGCCATGAAAGAGCCATACTGTAATTCTAATTCTGAGTTAGAGGTTTACCAATATGCAATTGAGGCATCCAGGCAATAACAGCTGGTAACATTATAACTCCAATATAATTCAGGGGTCAACAATGTTTTCTCATACAGTAGTTACGTTGACCATATAATGTGATCTTATAACAACACATACTGTAGCTTCTGTCTTCCATCATCTAACGTACTGTAGCGCATCCTCGCACAGCAAGGCTCACACATGCTTTTCCTCTTCGATCGGGGATTAATGTCACACACTGCCCCCATTATCATTAGATTTAAATCCGACATCTGTGAGAAAAGATGGCTAGGCACATGACATGGCCATTGTCTTATAGAAAGCATGGAGCCCCACATCTCCATGGTCTGAGTCTCGGCCAATGACTGAAGTGTGTGCGGCTGGATCACTAACACAGAGGTACCTCACTTGAAAGCACCATGTGACCAGGCACAATACAATATTTCTGATCAAACAATTCATATTTCTTTTCAGTCCTTATTCAGCATGTTTTCAGCTACACTGGATATTACATAAGAATTGCTGTTCTGAGAACTGCTCTCCCCTGAACACAGATCGCTTTTCTGATTAGAAATGGCCTTTTTTGAGGTACCACACAAACAAGGCTGTAATCAATAAGTGAAGAGAGGTGAAAAACAAACTTGTTGAGGAAAAAAGAAAATGTCCTTAGCCAACATGTGATGCCCTTGTTTTATAATTTACCTTGGTTACTGAATTAAAACAACAATCAAGGAAGAATTCCATTGAAAATCATCACTTTGCTATTTCATGTAGGCCATATGCCTAAAATGTTTAGGCAAAGATTCTATGTACTCGTCCTTTGCAGCATTTTATCGGTACATTAAATATAACAGTTAAATTCTACACTAATACCATGTGAGTAAGATTAAACACATTTGGTTATATTTCAACAAGCTCCAATGGAAACTCCCAACAGCGGGAGAAAAAATATAATCTAATGGCTGTCGTCACAGTTTGAGTTAATTGAAAGAATTCATTAAAAAGATTAAAAGAATAATGATCAAAAACTCTCAATTTTAGAGAATCTGGAATGGGTCTGAACATCTACTGTGTGTTGATTTATTTGGCTCAAGCTTCCAGCGTTTATTTAATGCATGAGTCGTGCTATTCAATTTTCCATTGTCTCGCTAGCTCGGAAAGGTTTTTGTAATAAAGATGTCAACAGTTTAAAGTGAATAAATATCATTCTCTTATGGGACACTAAAACCATTGCATACATAAATCAATGTTCAATCTTTCGTTGATCCATTGTCTCTGGCACTTGCTTTGTCAAACTAGATTCCCTGTATGTTTATAAATACCTCACATTTATTAATGCCTAACTATAGTTACTGGGAAAGAGGCACAAAACTAATGGGTGGGGCCAATCCACTTTTTTGTGAATGTTGTTGTGAATGCTGGAAAAGTAATCAGAAAACTGATTATTATATGTTATTTTTATGATATTTTACCGATTTTAAAAATATGAGTGTGGAAACTTGAAAAGTACTGTAGGATGAAATTATTAAAAGAGACTGATTACTGTTTGTGCAGTTTGATTACATATATTTCTAATACATTGAAAATAAAAGAAACAACAAGTGATGAAAGATTCAATGTTCAGTGTGGAAGGACCATATTTTGTACGTTGCATGATATTTACTAGTGTTTTTATTATTTTGTATATTAGATTTCCCAGCACTGAGGATATTGGTTTTAAAGAAAGTTTTGTGTTTTTTTTCATAAGTGCTATAACACCTACCGGGAACATTCCATAAATATATTGTATTCATTAATAATTTCTCTTCAAAGAACTTTTTAGAATATAAAAGTCACAATCCTAAAAACTATTTAGCAAAAACAAAAATCAGTGCAGTCTTTTAATACTACTTCTTCATTCTTATTATATTTAACCTTTACATTTCAATGGTCAGGTTCCATATGAAGATAGGATGCAAATTTAATCTTCGTAGCAATAATTCAGATTCCGACAATTATGTAAAATGAGACACCAAATGCACGCACTGAAACCCTGATTATGTATGTTGTTGTGCGTACCGTAAAAATAATCATAAAACTGATTGTTTATTGCGCTTCTTATATGAGCTGTTGAAGATGTTGTTAAATTGCTCATACTATAATAAATCTCTTTCATGAAACAATTAATTTGAATTGTGACATTTCATTACCTGTCGGAAAATAAATATACCGGTAACATATTGGCAATGTGCAGTATTACACTGGCTGTATTCAACACCAAATTGATTTGAAAGTATTAATTATTCATGAAATAAATTCCCAATAACATATGTTAGATTGGGGGTCGTTTTTTTAATCTGAAAAGTGCTTAAAATGTATTTAGAGGAAAAATTTGATATACTGGTATATTCAAAATTGTATGTTACTCATATACCCACACATACTGTATACTGTCTATATATAGTTCAGGGTTACAGAGAAAGCAGAATTCGAAATCTGTACAGAAAGTTCTGCCACTTTACATTTTGAATCAGCATGAGTTAATTAATATTCACCCTCTTAATATATAGTGTATACTGTATACTGTATATATGAGATACAGTATTGCTCATTTGTTGCAGTTATTTTTTTATTAAATGTATTAATGTGATTTTATAAAATAATGTAAGAATGAGACTGAAGTGGTGAAGATCAACAGAGAAACAAAAAAAAGACAAACAGAGAAAGAATGTCAGGTAAATCCAGTAGCAATTTGAGTTCTATTAGTAGCATTACCAGTAGTACCAGCAGTAGCAGTAGTACACAGTTTCAAACCCTATTATTGCTCATTTTTAGGTTTTGGTTTAGTTTAATCTTCATTCATTATTTTATGCATTTGTGTGTTAGGGAGGGAGCAGGGGCAACCAGATTAGCTTTGCAAATGGCATTTGTATGCCTGGAATTTTTTTAATTTCCTTTAAATCCAATTTAATTGATATTTGTATTGCATCTCTAGACACATAAACTGGTTTGGCCATATTGTTTTCACCTTAAAAAGGAATCCAGCTTCCTTTCTGTTGAATAAAAAAGTACAAATAAACTCAGGAGTTATTTTGTATTAATGTGTCATTCATACTCTAATTTGTATGAAAGTGATTTAATAAACCTATTATAAAGATGTTGCATGCCCCGATGCGTGATCATCTGGAGCACAGTTTAATACGATTAAACTCGCACTGAATACATTTCAAATGACTAGTGTCAGCTTGGTAAATATTTGTGTGATGTAAATTTACAAATCAACAGCCTTCTAGAATTTCCTTTGTGGAAGTCAAAGGAATCCTAGACACGCAACACAAGGCCAAAGAACAACTTTTTCTGTTGTCCTAAGAGTAGATACACAGAGAAATTGAGCATTTAGAGCAGATACTGTATGACTAAAACGTGTCAGAGATGGAACGTATTATGCAAAACCTAAGAGAACAGACATATACAAAAATTGACACCAGGTGCTTCCACGAGTTAAGAATATGAAGACAACAAAAATAGCATGGCCCACACAAAATGTTAGTGGCAAATAAATGAGGCAAAAGAAATCAACATTTATTTCTTGTACTCCATGTTTGAGAAGCTAAGATGTCTAAACCTCTTTTCTTCTTGGGTCTTTCTGAAAACCAAGACTGAGGACATTCCAGTAGCTTACTGCACTGTCTCCGCAGAAAAAAACCCAAACCAAAAACAAGTAGATTGTTTTTTTTTCCCATCTCAGACACAGTTAGTGGCGCTTGGTACTTCGTTAGTAGCAGCTGCAAACGATACTGTTTGCAAGGAGGAGGAGGTTGGGGTGGGGGGTAACTCACAATTTGTGCAAAGTTCTGTCTTCGGAACTGAGCAAATTTGCTCTCTATTTCTTGCCAGCGTTTGTTGAGCTGGATCAGGTTGGGCTCCACTGCCTTTGCAGCCCCGTCCCTTGACAAGCTTTGAGCTTGTCTATTCACAGCATTCAGGTCTTCTCTCTTCTGCTCCAGCTCCGCATCAATCTCCTAGTGAGCAAAACCAATAGAGGACCCCAAGGCAGTTAGCGGACTAAATGAAACTCAAAACTCAAGAAATAAAAAAAAAACAAAGTTAAAAAAATTATAAAGCCAGTTGTCAGGAGGCACTTATCTCCCAATTTATTTAAGCAGTAAATCTTACATTTAAAATGAATTTAATTCCTGTACACAGAAGCTAAGCAAAGGTCTTGCATCTTTTATTGCAGGATTGCCGTGTTGTTGGCTCAACTACATAACTCAATTAAAAACTGAAAGGAGCAACTTTATTTGAAGCTCGAGGGCTTTTCTTTGATGTGTAATGAAACACTTTTTTATTTGGGAGGAAGGGGGTGGGTGAGAATGTGGTTTATGTTGTCAAATATCAAAGAGCAGATTTATCATCTGAGGGACTATGATACTTCTGAAGCTAACACATCTAGTGGGTTCAGGCTCTCTTTTTCTGCTAAAAAACTCATTAGACAAAACGAAGCAAAGGTAATGAGGCAGTGAAATGAATAAACAAAAAAAAGACAAAAAGGTGATTTCAATAAATTTGAGCATAAATCTGCATTGGTGGGATTATGACGAGTGAGACAATGCTTCTGGACAAAAGAAGATCTTAACATGACAAACAGGTCGTCCACTTATCGAAATGTTTTGATCATCTGTAACAAAGACACACAAAGTCAAATCAAGCCCATTTTCAGAATGCAGAACAAAATTTCTACTTCTACAGTAACAAATTCACCTTTATTGCTTGTCAAAAAACAAATCACAATCTTCTCATTTATTACAACACACAAGTATTGATACTATTTTAAAACAGCATTTGGTCAACAGCTAAGCACTGTTACAGTACTTTATATGATTGTAACACGTTTCTAAAATAGAAAAAAACTGTATACAGAAATACAGCATACAGTAGTAGTCATTACCTTTTTATAGCTTTACTGTAAATTATTACCTTAATCCTTTCTTCGTCTCTTGGGTCGGGAAGGCTAGCTACCCGTTTCTCTATGTCATCCAGCCACTGCAGCAGGTCATGAGACTGCTTCTTATACTGGTACCATTGGGGAGAAATGGCCAGGGCTTTCTTCTTCCTTAGCGACCTCAGATCCTACGTAACATTTATACGTGGTCAAAATAAAAAAAGATACAAATTACCGTATGTGAACGTTAATTTTGGATTGCTCTTTCACACCCTCCCTTCAGAGGAGGTTACAGCATGGTTTATATCACAAAGTAGGGAAAAACAGGGCAAACATTTCTGCTTGGAATACATAGCACATTTTACATACTGTACAGACTGTGTATCGTTGTTTCCAATGAGGATTCCATGTTAACTCTTAGACCAGCAGTCTTTTAAGTCTTTGGTCTTTGGGCTCCAGGGTTCAATGAAAGCTTAGCATGAACTATTGAACCTCTGCAGTTAGGGAAACACTCCTTGGCCCATGTGTTGGGTTCCTTAGCCCCTGGAGACAAATATACAGTATGCAGCACTCTACACCAGGGGTCTCGCCATGATCTTTCGGGTGGGGCACCATGGTTTTATTTCATAGAAATTCCCCCTAGACAAGCGTCTTTGTATGGAAGCCATGGAGAAAAGAATATTACTGTGTTACGTTGAGATAGCATTGTGTTGTTTCACAATTATTAATGACGAACCTGCAAACAGTTTGCAACCAGAATGCCATCTTCATAATGAAGAATAAAAGAATAACATCAAGCTGCCTTTGGTGGTAAGTAATTAGTATAAAGCAAAAATGTTTAATACATCTATTTTGAGGCAGTAGGTATTACTCCTAGAAATCTAGCATTCCTAGGTTAAACGTGTATAACCATTAAGACATATGATTAGAAGGACTGCTACATCCATGAGGTAATGAGTGCATGGCGTACAGCCCATTTGACATTGACATTGGAGACTTGGCTGATGACATTTCAAGCATGGCCTAACGAGACACTGCACCAGTTTTCAAAAACAATCAAACAATCTATGTAAGTGTGTTCTGGGTCAATGTGGAAAAAAAGAAAAAACTATTCTGAGAAATGAGGCTCTGAAAGTTTTAATACACAAACTACTTGTATGAAATGTTTTTTTTCAGCACTTTATTAAATGCTGAATTATTTTACCAAATTCAGCTTCAAATTACTAAACTATTAAGCTTAATCTAAGACCCTTCCGAAAATAATTATTCAAGTTACTGAATGTTAGCAACAGTCTTCTTGAAAGTAAATGGGATGCATTTCAGAAACATTGATAGGCATTAGCATAAACATGCCATGTACTGTAGCACTACCTCACTGGATGGAATTGTGAACAGAAAACCTTCTCTTCAACATAAGACTAATTTATACAAAGCCATACTCATCACCAATAATATCAAGTCAAAGACTTGGCCAAACAGGTAAGCATTTAGTTCTACTAGCAGTATAGATGATTTCAATTCTAATCACTCCTATACTACATCTATAGAATTTTCAATACTACTAAATAACACTATTTAGTCTTTTTTAATATTGCAAGAAAATAAATTTAACTTTTGAGTGGTAAGTGATTAAAGATGATCAGTATTTCAACAGCATAAAATTTACAATCAACAGAGGGCATTCAGTCCATCTAAAACTTTTGCTGTAATTGTTTAGAGGATTACTGTACATCCAGCCATCTCCTAGGTGATTACATGAAATCTAATATTTTAATTAATAATTTCTATTCCTCAGTTTTTACATCCTAAAGGTAAAACATCTTTTAAACTCTTTCAATGTTATTTAATATCAAAGGAAAAATAAAAAATGAAAGACGTCACTACTATTTTTCATTATAATGGATTTAAACTATTGTGTCAGAAAAAAATAATTTTACCAAAATGGTATTAGTTATCCAAATTCATTTTAAGATACACACAGTAGAGAAGAGCTACTTTTTCAAGTAGTTGACAAAACAAAACAAAATATATATATATATTCACCAGTCATGTCAGGGAGTGAAAATCTTTCATGCCTTTCTTCTTAATGTAGACAGTTTGATGGCAGAGGTGTGAATACAGTTTCATAGTAATTCAGAAAAAGCAGCGTTCCTGCATTCATCTCAGCCTCTTATTTAGCCATGCTCAGAAATCTGCTGGTAAGATGAAAGTCCCAGAGGAACTCAACAGGAGAATTTGATGAGAAATCAAAAGCAGTGGATACAAAGGTTATTGATTTCTTTCTCCAAGCCTGTGCAAAAGAAGTGTGTGTGTTTGCCATAAATGAAATAGCCTATCTTAGCTCTTTGCTTGGAGGATAATACCACATACTGCTCTTTCATCTGGGAGCAGAGAAGCAAACCCCACTTTATGGGACAGAGGCTAAGAATACCTGCAACAGTGAAAGAATGATTGTGGGACTGACAAGGAAATCAAAAATAGGTTATGACCGAATTATTAGTAGCTTTGGCTTTGTGCTGGCATTGAAGATATAAAAACAATGCAAAAGGAGAAAAACTATCTCCTTGGTAACAGTTGTACGCAGGCAGGTAAAAAAAAATGTTATTATACCCAAGTCGCCATAGAAGTGAAGATGAATAAAGTGAAGTGCGTTTTACACATATCTACACATCTTTGTTCATGTTCCCACTGGATTTTAAAAATATACTGTATGGTAAATAACGTTTGTCTCCTTTCGAATACACTGAAATTAAAGTTTTCAAAATAAATACCTTCATCCATACAGTATATCGTAATACTCCACTGAACGATATGCAGTATCCTGTATATCTTATAATTTGTAGAATAACTCAGGATTTCTCAAGATCGCAGCTGTTTGTAAACATATTCAGACTACATATAAAAATCATGATTGTTTAAAAGTATTTTGGATATATTTATATTGAATATTGTAATAAAAGCTGTATGTTAATTGGAATAAGATTTTTGCCAAAATTATGTATCATCATTGCAACGCATTGACGCTAACATGAAAGAGGACTCTAACACTTCACAGTTATCTCTGGCATTCTTTCATTGTTTCATAAAAGATTCAATGCCTAATTTTCACTTTGATACACATAATACATACTGTACATGACTAATGAAGAGTTGCAGGTACCTAGCAGCTGTGGAAGATTATCTAGTCATTATAAACACTAAATGGTGCAGGGCAGTCCGGTGACTCTGTGACTAAGGATCTGCGCCTGTGGCTGGAAGGTTGCTGGTTCGTATCCCGCGGCCGGCAGAGGAATCCTACACCGTTAGACCCCTGAGCAAGGCCCTTAACCCCAACTGCTCCAGGGGTGTTGTATAAATGGCTGACCCTGCGCTCTGACCCCAAGCTTCTCTCCCTTTCTGTGTGTCTCTTGATGAGAAAGTTGGGGTCTGCGAAAAGACAAATTCCTAATACAAGAAATTGTATATGGCCAATAAAGTGATCTTATCTTATTAAAAAGACATTCTTTCAGAGCCCTGCAACTCCATAGGCTTCAAATTCTAAAGTGAATGTACTATATATTGAATGAGTTTAAAAGGCTGAAATTCTAGACTCCTGTTCTGACGGGTATTTTCTTTTTTTGCAGCTTTAGGGTTCATATGGCTTAAACTTCCACCTCCTGCCCAGTTCTGTAAGTTGAAGTCTGTTCAAAGCTTCTAAAAAAACAAAAACGTATGGATTTAATGAAAAAGTGGCATCTGACAAGTGAGAAATGACCATACCTTGACAGTGTTGTATTTTGCATGCAACAAATTTAGTTTGATTCGGATCTCCTCTCGTTTCTTCTCATCCGGGACTCTGTGATGCAGCTTCTCTCCTTTCTCCAAAAACTCCTTCACTGCCCCTTCTTCATTGTCCTCCTAAATGGGGAAACATCAAAAATAAAAACATAACAGACTGGCAGTCAGCTGTTTCCTGTTTTCTTTCCAAATTCACAACAAAGGAAAAGGCTGATAAGCAAAAGTCAGAACAGAATAATATTTTTGTAAGGAATGACTGAAATGGAAAATTACACATATACAGTAGGTCGACAGCAAAATTAAAACAAATACATAATGTTATTGCAAGGTGATGTTAATGTTAGTGTTCATTGTGTTCCTTACTGAAGAGCAGTATGATACTCATAATGCTATGTAACTGCATTCTCCTGGAATGTGTTGTTTACAAAGGGCAAGGTTATCTTACAGTAAATATTTCTGCAAAGATGGCTGTTTTATGTTGATATTAATTCATGTACCCAATTGTTCTCTGGTGCTGAAAAACACATCTGAATAACAACGGAGATGGTGAGAATGGACCTAAAGCAGAAATTAAAATCAGACCTTAAGACCATTTTGGCTTGCCACCCCATTCTGTCTCTGAGGAGGGACAGTCACAACATTTTCTAAAAGCCTTTAATTAAGATGAACTTTCATAGATTTCAGCCAATTTCATTGTGAATTATTTCCCCTAGGACTTGAATAACTTGTGACAGCATGAAGAAAACAAATGCAAAAAGTACTGCATTGCTAACTTTCCCAATAAAAAAAGAGCTGATTAAAGTGTCTATGACAGACTTTAGGTTTAATCATTAAGTTAATGTGAAAACTAGAATTTATGCTGCTCTGTGAAACACATATATGAGTCCAATAACCTTCAATAAGGCCACTAGCAGGATCTGAATGGTGTAAACATCAAAGAGATTAAACTGTCAAGTTTTAATATTGCTTTATGTTTGTTCAAAGCACCATACTGACAACATAAATCTACAACACAGCAGCTGAAAAGAATGGTGTGCTATTCACAGTCACTTGAATATCATTTGACACGTAGCTCTTCAGTTGCAAATCTGCAGCTGTGCTCAACTGCTGATACCTAGGGATGCAAGATGCTCTTTCTTCCATTTTATCACACTTTAGTACGTACAGGTAGCTCCATCACACTTCTGAATCTCCAGTCAGAAACTGCATTGATTTGACAAAAATAACTTATTTTCACTGTGCTGTACATATCAGAAATGTCACTGTCTTGGTGTCTTATCTGAGGGACATACAGCAATAGTTTAATACCTAAAGTATACAAGGATGTGCAGTGTTATTGCAATTGCATGAATATAATATTAAGTATTTTCCATGTGCTCTGCTGTTTTTTTCCATTTCCTAGACATAGACCTGGTTCAACCCACTAGGAACACGCTGTGAACTCCAGCAATAATTATCAGCTCTATGAACTGCCCATAGCTGTCAACCAGCAGTAATCATCTGAACTGTCAAGCAGCACCACCCAGACTTCCAAGTTACTTATTCACAAATTAATTCATGTGCAAAACATATTAGCATAAATTCCTAAACAAATGAAGGAAATGTGACACCCATTTAGCAGATCAGGCGACAGCTTCACTAACGAAGCCCCATTAAAGTAGATGTGCCTTTTCTGTTTCCTTGATGGTGGTTTAATAAATGGTGGTTTTACATTTTTATGTTTATTGATGCTGAAAGTAATAAGTTCTTTAATAAATGTACTAATGACTGAAACGGAACTGTGTAAGTCTTAATGACAAAGGCGATTAGATTTATTTTACGAGTGTTTCTAAACCTAAATGTGAGGATAAACAAGACACAATGTGATGACGCAGGGCTGTTCACCACATCATCTGTTTTGTTGTGGTGAGCATGTCTATTTTTAGAGTGCTTTGGGATCCAAAGGCTGGAACGAAATGATAGGTACAGTATGAGTGAATATTAATAGTATTCTTCCTTTTTAAATTCTGAATCTACTCTTACACTATAGAATGTCCTTTGTGGGTCTCTACAGCAGCACCATGACTAAACTAATTCATCTAAAAGATTTACCCCAGGGAGGCACATGCTTGGGTACACGTACATACACACACACATTGAAAAAGAAAACTGTGATTATTACGGTTGCACACTGAACGTTACCGGCAAGGATTTCACTAGTTCTGCGGCAGGCAATTTAAAGGTGAGATCTATCTTTTTCAGACTTAAGTTGGTTCATCTGTAAACACAACTGTAGGATTTCTATTACTCCCCGTACTTGTTGAATATGACACATATCTGAGAAATAATGTTCACATTAATTTCTGCATCACATCTGATCTTTTAGTTGGGCAACTTCTACTGTACATTCCCACATTCAAGCCACTGGGAATGTACATGTAGTAATGGAAGGGAACACATTATCTGCAGAGCTGCTGAGATCCTTCAGCCCATTCCATAACTGTCTAAGTAAAACAGTTCACTCACTGCTGCCCACACAGTACACATACAGTAGCTCAACAAGCACTGTTCAGCATTGTCACTTTAAGACAGGTATTGTAGCCAGATATTCACTTTTTTCCTCCTTAAAACAGTGTACCTTTGTTACAAGCTGTAATTCACTCCCTTAAATTAAAATACTGTACATTAGACATTTGTGTCGATCGGAATGCTAAAGATACAGTACATCATTAAAACGTTAAATTCATGGTGTTGGCTAAGCCCGGCAAATTTCTTTGAAATGGAAGGACTGGATAATTAAGAAAGCAGTTGGATTCATCGTAACAAGGGAAAAAAACTGACTTTACTCAATTATGTCTTAACAAAAAGGGTAAGGGTTTGCATGACTCATATTCCGCAAAGGGTTTCTTGAAATGTGTCTGTCGCTCGTCTGTGTTTCATTATCCCACCCTGCATGTCACTGCATTGTTCTATTGTCCTTACCGTGTCCTTTTGGAAATCCTCCTCTTTCAAATTGTCACCCTCTTGAACCTCTGCCTCCAGGCGTTCCAGCCACTTCTGTGCTTCTGTGTGATAAAGCTCAAGTTCGCGGGGAGTCACAAAGGCCTGAAACACAGCAGAACACACGCTGACGCTGGCAGGGAAGATAGCTGACGGATGGGGATGAGAAAAACTACTGTATACTGTATTCTAACACAGTATGTACATACTGTACATACTGTACTGTACTGGCCATGAAACTCGATTTTCACTGTAATTAAAGAAATAGCAAAGGTTATTTATGACCTTCCTTATAATTATTCCAGGTACTAGAAGCGTTCTTGATGATCTGCAGAACACGGGTCTGTCAGCCTGTGATTTTTTTTAATGCAGAACTTGTCAGCCAGGGAAGATTTTTCATCGCAGCTCCAGAGGCAGTTCATTTGGCTGTTTTTATGCACCCCATGAGAAAGTTGATATATGGGTATGAACAGCATTTACAATATTATTACAAACTCAGAGGCTTCGTTAACGGATAAAAATAACAAATGATTAATATGGTGCTGTTAGTTAACAGGCCTAATTTCATATTCACTTGAGGAATGCTTCTTTGCTCTAGTGAGAAGAAAATGTGCTGGAATGCACAGAATTTCTCTGCTGTCCTACTTACGTCCCTCACACAAACATATTCTGCATTGATGAATAATGAAGACGTGGATTAGTTTGGTTTATGCACTTTTCAGCACTACTGACCTCCAATTATGAAACACCTTCAGGACTGTAGTAAACCTGAAGACATTCAACTCTGACAAACGCTTTATTTTCCCATTTCCCCAGGCTTGATTTATAAATCAAGAAATGCTGGTGCTCCTTGGACACACGTGCAGCTTCCATTCTCCAGTACCTCTCACATCCTTCTTGACCTCTTGCTGCCTTTACCACTGTGGTACTGTACAGTATGTCTGTGCTATCCCTCTGTCAACATGTGCCACCCTGGAAATCACTGGCACAGCTTACACAGGGTTCCCCTCCTACCTTATCAGGACTACTAACATGGGTAACATCTCACTCCCTCTTCACTGGTGTCACCCAAGTGCTGCTGCTTGTGTTTTTCATGGAGCAGTAGGTGGAACTTTGCTCACTAGACCACACGTCCAGACCGACACCCCAGTAAGTGACCAGGGACCTTGGACTATAGAAAGCTGGATTCTGGGTGGGGAAATTTCACACTTATTGTCCATATAAATAATTTTGGAATTGTTTGAGATGAAAAGTAAATGTGACATTATTTTTATTATTTAATTCAGTGAATGATGCATGTTTGTCAATAGCTTGTACAGATCATAAATACTGTATGTGATTGCAAATCATTTCAATTTTGCCTTTTAATTCATTCTAATAATTACTGACAATCTCATGACCTAGGATATAAAAGAAACACCGATATTAGTGAACCCGAATCCTCATGAATATTGTGGCATTTGATCATGCAGTAAAATACTACTTCTAAAATATTCATTACTATACAGGTGCAGACAATACAAAGGTGTGTCTTTTGGTGTTCCTGAGTAAAACAGCTCCTGATTGATTAGTGGCATAAAATATACTAAGCACACTGAATAGCACTGCATTTTTTGTTTCATTTTTAGTTTTATTTTCAGTGTTTCTTCTTTCTATATTTCGGCAGATATTTGGTCAGGAATATTTTTTTATGATTAGTATCATCTAATCTTGGGGTATGATAATTCTAAGTTGATTAAATGCAAATTACACAGCAAGGAGTAGTACAATTCTGCATTCTTCCACGTACAATTTCTCAAATCTCCTCTCCTTTGCCCTATTCTGCACTACTGTATATTGCTTGTTTGCTTGTGTAAGTTAAGAGATAGCCCACCTAAAACATGAGTTAAGTGAATGCTGCTGTTGTACCTTGCCGATCTTTATCCTTTGAGAGATGGCCTCAAAGCGCTGATTCAGCTCTGACAGCTTGGGCTCCACAACCACTCTGCAGTGATCTCCCCTGTTCTTAATGAGGTCTTCAGCTTGGCCTTGCACTGTCTCCACCTTCAGACGGATATCACTCAGTTCATCCTTCAAACCCTGCAGTCAAACAACGACAGACTAAGATTAGTCTGAGGTCACACCAAAGAAGGATGAGCGCTGAGCGCTGAAGTCCAAATTTAGCAATGTTTTTTTTACAAAAGAACAGTCAGTTTTAAACTATTTTTAGAGTACACCAAGGATATTGATTTATTTTCTTCAGAAAAAGCAACACATCTGGATATGCCTCTTTTTCTAAGATAAAAGAAAAACTGATTTCCAGGTTTCTATATTTATAAAACATCGTTGAAAGGCTCTATTATATCTTAAAAGTTCAGGAAAAAAAATAAATTCCATTCCAGTAAAAAATATCTATCCATTCCATGATTCAAATTCTTGTTTTAAACATCCCAACTTTGGGCAGAGTTTCTGCCATCTAACATGGTCCTACAGTACCTAGTATCTAGTTGCAATACCTACCATCCTTCTGTATTTTATACTGTACATCTAGCAATGCTTTCTAATTTCAGAAGATAATAGGAAGTATGGACCTCTAAAGCTGATTGTTTTTTTTGTAAAAAGTTATAAACATTTTTTGTCCTTGTAATATGTGACACAAAAGACTGTCTTAAAAGACAACCTCATTAGTATACTGAAAAAGAATACATATTCTCTGTTACAGTTCTCATGACCTTCATATTTGAACACACAATATTATTCACGAATCTCCAAAAACCCAAGTACTTTTTGCCAAGCAGGTAGTGTACCTTTAACACTTCCTGCTGAGACTCCTGTTTCTCGGATTCGTCGAGGAGAATCTCGGCACGGTATATCCAGGCAGTAATTTGGGCAATACTCTGGTCAAACATTTCCATCTGTTTCTGATAGTCCTTTGTGCAGAAAGAGAAATATTCACTTGAATCAAATTAGAGCTGTTTACAATACATCTGTCTTTTTTTTTCCTTCAGTCACTTACACAGGAGGTCAATCTCTAATTTTGTCCTCTTTTGCCTACTTACCCAGCGATATCACATTTCTAGCTTGTTCACATGTGTGGTTTGTTGCACATTCCTCCACTCACCCCATCTTTCCCTTGCAGGCCATCTACCTCCCTGTCTCATCCCCTTTTAAAGCAGGGTGTTCTGACCGCATAGTCACTGCAGCCAGGTTGGCTTTTTCCTTTGCAGGACAAGATACACATTAAAACACACTAATTCAAAGCATGCTTCCGCAGTGTTTCAAACTGGGGTTTGGGTGAGCTGCTAAAATATATGTCAGTTCAACTGTGATAAAAGCTTTTTGGTGGTATAATTTTTTAAAAAAATAGAAGATGTATTATTGATAAGTACTGTATGGTAGAAAAAATGGTCATTAAATTAGCTTCAGATACAAGCTGACAACCGTTCTCCAACTATATAGTAACATATGGGGTATGATATGGATCTTTTATTTTAATAAAAAAACACAATTGCTAGAACATGGAGATTAGAAATTGGACAAAAAACAACAATAATATGAAAACATTGGAAATCAATACACGCCATCAATAGGGATGTTGTTCTATAGTACATGTTCAATATTTTCTCCTTTATTTACAACCAAGGGACTGCTTGGAAATAGACCACCCCAGCAGTTCTCAAGGAATGCAAGAATACACTGTACTGTATACAATACTATACAGTATAGTATTGCTCTCACACCTGAAGAAGGCTCCACGGCCGAAACATTGTGTTTTCTTTCTTCTTTTTTTCAGCACGGAATAAATCTATGACTTGTTCCTTTGCACTATACAGTACAGTATATACTGATATACTGTATCAGATAGTAGTTCAGGTGGGTAGCTGCGTCAGCATGCATAGGCTGCAAAGGAAAAAGTAATAGGTTTATTCCATGCTGTGGAGCCTTCTTCAGGTGAGAGATCTCTGTTTTCTTTCCTCTGTTTTCAGCATGGAATAAACCTATTCCTTGTTCTACTGTACCAGATACCCTATTCCCTTCCCTGGTTACATCAGGATTTACTTTATTCTCATGTACAACTTCATTGTAAGCTGTCTGCAGCAGAAGACTTTCAGTCCACCTTAACAGAAGTGGGTGGGGTCTGCCGTGGCCCCCTTTGACTTTTGACCTTGGCAGGATTAGATTCCCGACCACCAGAATCACAAAAGGCTCCAAAGAAAAAGTCAAATATCGGATCTGATTGCTGACTTGACCCCCCACTTTACCCTCAGCAAGTTGAGCCACTCCTCAGCTCTTGAGGTCACGGCGATCCAGTTGCAGTTAAGGAGGCTGACTTTATCGTCTACTAGATTCTCCTTCCCATGAAGCACAGCCTTCAGAGCCTCTGCCAGATCAGAGATGTTCTTCAGCTGCTGTAGATGTTTCTCTGTGTCCTTCTGAATCGCCTAAGGGAGGACATTGCTCACGATTAGATGAAGATTAGGAAGAACACCAACCTGTTCACAGATCAAAAGCAGAAAATCAGAAGGAAGAAAACTGCCTAAAAATGTTTATCACTAGACAAAACAAAGACAGAAAAGTATAGCGAAAAAAAGGGTCAACACCTTGGGGAAAACTAATATAGAATAACTGAATGAACTTCAACTTATTTCATATTATACAAGCTGAAGTCATTTTGTTACAAAATCTTCATGTAGATGTACTGTATGTGTGTGCATTTTGATAGTTTGTATTAATGATATGTTCGGTATAATTTCCTGTATTACAATTTTGAAAGTATCTACAAATGAACAAATTAAATGTTATACCAAACAATATGCCAGAAGACATTTCACTTTCTTCTCTGTTCTAAAAAGGGGAATAATATTGGGCGTACAGGTTATCTGATGCAATCAGGGAGAAATATGAATGCCAGTTTCCCTAGGAATAAGACTTTTTGCATTTTCAGTGCTACATACAGTAATATGACCGGGAGCTCAGTTTCATACTGTGAGGTGATGTACAGCTTAAACAAAATCTTTTAAATAGATGTGTGTTAAAATTAAAAAAGTCACATTGATAATAAGAACAATAATATTGGGAATTTTTTTGTAGGAATTCGTTTCATAAAAATATCTAAGAATATAAATATACAGTTAAGCCAGAAAAGAAACAAATGCAAAATGCTATTATATACTGTAAGTGCACTTCATAACTTCTCATCAGTTTTAACATTTAAGAAAATTACACAACCTATTACATAAGATTATTACATTTATTTTATTTTATATATATATACTGTATATCATGCTTATTTCCCCTAAATCCTATTGGTATAAAGAAGAGCACTCTTTTTACTTAAAAAGTAGAACAGTGAGTCAGTTCTTGTTTTAGGCTTTTAAATGTAATGTATCTTCTGAATTGTATTAATCTCTCTTTATTGTTGACAAATGGTGGAGGACTGAAATTATTCACCACACTGCAGACAGAAACCAGTGAAGCATTTGTGTGTAAAATAGTAATCGTAATAGTAATAGTAAAATAGAATGACAAAGAAAGCTTTGAAAAAAACATTGCAGTTTTATTCAGTCATGATTGACTTTATTGCACAATTCAAACTATGCACCTCTTCAGCAAAAAGTATAAGCATAAAAAAACCAACAATGAATTCAAATCTTAACTTCAAACTTAAACTTGAAAATCTTACCAATCTACATAAAACATATAAAGAAACCTAAACAATTTAGCACAACGTAGAATTTCAGATCAGTATGAGGAAGTGGTTTGTTAATTGATCGGTTCATTAAAGGTCTAATTGCTTATTGGAAAAATTCAATGAGCTAGACAGCTTGAGGGAAAAAAAAAATCTCTATGGAGCCAGCCAATGGAGTAATGAACTGCATTAAAACAAGTCTCCCACATAGCCATTAACTAAAAGGCAATATGCTAAGGTATCTAACCTGAACATTATGGGAGAAGTATTTAAGAGCTGCCAGCTAAATTTATTCCCTGATAGAAATGGGTGAACTTCAGAGCAGAGAAGGCAGAACTCATTCTGTTATCTGATATGCTGGCAAATCACCTTCCCAGTATAGTGTACTTCAGTAAACTGTAATAGCTGTATTCTGATGCCAGCGCTGCAGTTCTAATGTTGTAAAGCTGAAGACCTCCTTATGCTGTGCAGTGCAGACAGAGAGCTGTAATTTTTATGCAGCACGATGCTATCAGTCAGTGTTATTTATTAGAAATATGTTCACAGAGAGAACCCTGGATTTCCATTCACATTCAATCAGTCCAAGGCTTAGGAATTGAATACCAGGATGTCTTTTTTAAGAGTTACATACTCAAATGAGCTTTTCTTTGAGAGAGCGAGCGAGTAAAGCCGTTCATCATCTGTGGGCGTCTTATCACATTTTAAGGCTGGAGAAATGTTTTAAGGGTTGTAAAATTAAAATTCAGCTTGCTTCTCCTGTACTTTCTTTCCTGTAGCAGAGATGTCTGCTGTGGTCTTGTAACAAATATTAATACATTCATGAAGTGAACTGGGTATTGGAATGTGTGTGTTAACCTTACATTTAAAGTCATTTGTTTCTCTTTGGCGAGACTAGAACACTTGCCCCCGCAATAAATTTTCTAATAGTGTGTATGTTTATTTAATCCATAATATAACTGTATAGAGCAGGTTTAGAATAAAATCTTATTTACTATGATCAACTGGAAAGTACCCATTTATATAGAAGGGCATTTTACTGGAGCAATGAAATTGAAGCTCTTTGTTCAAGGATATAGTACTAACATGAGTTCCTGATGTGGATGCACATCTCTCTGGTCTAGAGTCCTAACCATCATTCCACATTGCAGTGCAAAGATAAGGTGCTATACAAGTCAGAAGCAGCACATGAACAGAATGTAAAATAGAAAGCAAATGAAATGCTTTTGTGATCTTCAGTAATGTGAGTAATAAATAATGAAACAGAAAAAGATAAGTTAGCTACCCAAAAGGCATAATATTCCAAAAGATGAAAGAGGTTTTTCCTACTTTGCAGAAGCTCTTAAAGCAAATGGCCTTTGTAACTATAAGAGAAGGCATTAAGATATGTAACATGATGTTATAAACGGTAATATTGTAAAACATCATTAGAAAATTACGTACAGTATACCCTAGGGGTAGGGTTAGAAGTAGATCAGGTTATGGTTGGGATTAAGGTTTCATTATGAAAATGCTAATCAATCATACATACTAGTTATTATTAACACAATAAGGTATTTCATTATTATAATGGTTTTTAAACCGAATAACCACTTTTTTCAATTCTTTTTTTGGTTTTGTACAAAGTTTTAGAGGAAAAACCAGAACTATTTGTTTGAATCGGTATCCCTTGTAGCCATTTTCAGTTCTCCCTTTCCCTTCCCCTGCTGAGACTTGATCTCCTCCAACCCTGAGTTGTTTAATTGGAGCTGATGAAGATGAATTCACAAGCTGACACACTTGCATGCCTGCAGCAAACCCTGGCATTTCTTCACACGTAAGACAGACCTGCTTCAGAAGCGGCCACACGCAGGTGCTAATAAGGCAGAATAAACTTCAGGACTGGCTCATATTGTGTTTCAGATGAGGCTGCCTGTGCGTAAGTACTGCATTATAGCAAGAGGAAGCAAGGCAATACTGGAAACTTTGGAGTCCCATGGCAGTGTATCGTTCTTTGAATGAATCTATCTTCATGGCTCCCCAAATTTCTGTTTCAGGCACAAAGTGAATTACAGTACTGTTGTACACCAGTCATTGCAGTACATCCGTACCTTGGCCCAGGCCACCTCTGCATCCAGATGAGTGGGCATTCCCTCCACAGACGATCTCCGGGTCAGCTCTGCGTCTGTTATAGCCAGCCATTCTGTCAGGGCATTCACCTCTTTCCTCAGCTTCCTGGACAACTTCAGACTCTTCTCCAGCTCCTGTTTTCCTTCTGTCACCTGCAAACAAACGCAGGATGCTCTCATGTTTTAGTTTGTGAAATGTTAGTTTCTGAGAACATTATGAACCAACATTGCAAAAGATAACTAAAATGCTTATTGGAAAATAATGATAGGGTACTGTACATAAAGATTTCGTTTTAGGAAAAAAAACATTTAGGCATCTTAATGTTTAATTGAAATGCTAAATAAAGTCTGCCAATTCATAAAATTAAAAAACAATTTGGCGATGAATACTTGTAGCCTCACTATGGTTAGTGTCACACTGTTTACAGTACAATATACAGTATTAATACATTATTACACCTTCTTAATGAAAATGTATTTAAAAACATTAAAGAAAATTTAAAAATTACAATAATTTGATGACCAAAATACATCATAAGGAGATCTACAGTAACTGTATGAATTTATGTAATACTGTCTAGTAACCTGAATTAGATCATAGTTCATACTGCGTCTGTCTCGAACATGCTCACACACATATGGCTGAAATATACAGTGTATTAAATAGCATCTATGCCCAATTAAACTAGTCACACAAACACAAAATCTCATGTTTGATTTTTATAGATCAAAAAAGTCTACATACAGAGCAACTTTTCAAGCAATACTGCCATCTACAGTAAAGCCTTGAAAAACCTATTGTATTTTTAAGAAGATGTTATTTGAAAACAAAATGCTATTACTGAGTTGCTTTGCTATTTTCACCTGAGAAAAGACTTTGGTGTAATTTCTCAAAACCAAACACTCCAGCTGCTGAACTGCCAATGACTTATTTAGTACGGTCCAGAAGTTGTTTTAGCTGCTCAAGGCCAAAGAAAGCTGAACATTAACTGCTGACAAGCAAAATTCTAAATTCTTTGTTTTCTACCAGTAATCTGCTACTAAGCCTTAATGCCCAGGTCACATCACCTGTTTCCCCTCATCTATGCAAAACCTTTCTTTTACAACTAAGCTTGATGACAATACAGTATGGCACAAAATTCTGCCCTCTTTACATGCTTATATAGCACAGCCCCTCTGTATACTTGATCTTACTAGGCCTGATCGTTCTTAATTTAAGACAGACCAGACTAAGTCATATACTGGATTGGTGTCACAAAAGCAGCTTACATCCCATTTGTTTTATCTGATTCACTCTGGTTTCTGTGCTCATTGATGCTTAACATACTGTAATAAATAATGTGGTGCTGGCAGTTTTTAAACTGTTACAGTAACACCAGCGCCTGAAATACCTACAGTAGCATATCTTCAGATAATCTTAACAATTTTCAGACCCAAATTAAATTTGCCATTTCCTGCAAAAACTATTAGTCTTTGCTCTTGTGAAATTAAATGGTTCATGTTTTATTTCTCTTGACGGGTTTAGATCTAAGGTTGGGTTGCTAATTTGATTAGGTTGGGTTCAGTCCCCTCGATTGCATTTCTTTTCATGTTTAGATGACAGTGCTAAAACTGAGATAATGCTATAGGTTTCTTCATATCAGTTGCATGCTTTAAATCCTATGGTACAGTCTTGCCAATTGATATGAGTTTTGTTCCAGCATCAAAAACTTGAGGATGGTTTTTGATAATGGATCAACGTTTGAACCTCGTGTGCAGAATAGTGTTGAGATACTGGTTTTATGTCTTGGAAACTTGTAAGGCTGTGTCCTATGCTGTCTATATCAGTAATAGAACATGGGTTAATTCATATGGTACTGTAAGTCTCTGAAACTGCACTTAAGCAACAATGTTTTCAGAAATTGGCATCCACAAACTTGACTCAGTCAAGCGCAAGTGATCACATCATTGCACTGGCTTCCTGTTAGGTTTCAGGTCAATTTAAAATCCTTCTGCATTCATCCATGAATCTGCATGGTTTCACTCCTCAGTATTGAGCTGATATGCTATCTGTTCACAGCCCTCCAAATGACCTTGCTCAGCTGATTATGGTTTACTGTTCAAACTGTTTTTCTACTCTCTGGGTGACAGGACCTTTTGTTGTCATGCTCCATAGCTTTAGAACACCATTCCAAAAGCAATGAGGCACTCTGCTACACTAGGCGGTATTAAAAGCTAGCCTGATTTTTGAGAATCTACTTTTTTATTTTTCTTCACAACTCTATTGTTTGGTTAAACAATTCTATCAGAGTGTGATTGCTGCCCTTTTATGCAAAAGAGGCTATGTAAAATAAATATATTAAAAACGCTTATCGTTTCAAGTGAAAAAAGCTGAAGATGTTCTTCTCCTATTACAAGCCTCTTTCCTTTGTTGCTTTTAAACTATACACTATGTCATCAAGACATCTGCATAAACGAGTGTTCAGAGTTCTGAACGTTCCAGGCTTCAATTTCAAAATGTGTGCATCTGTCAGGAATCCCCAATGAAAAGGTATACAGATCCTGTGCAGACGCAGGAGTAGGTCGGTGACGAAGCAGGAGAACAATCCGGTACGTAAGGCGAGTCCATGGTCAAGAGGAGAAAGGTGGTTTGAAATCCAGGAAGTAGACATAGTGGCAAACAATCCGAAACGAGAGGCGAGGTCCAAAGTGGAAAGGCAAAAGGTTAGTCCAGAATCCAGAAGAATGCGAGGTACAGTACAGAATAAACGGCAGGTAGAGCTCTCAAGGAGTAGACTCAATACCGAGCAGTGGGAAGCAGGTCTGGATGGTTTAAATAGCACTGTGTGCCGCACGGTAGAGCGCATGCTGATGGATTAACACGTGCGGCGGCGCTTGTCATTATTGACCGGCTGCTGGTACTGTCACGCCCCACACTCTCCCTCGCAAACGACGTCACATTCCCGGAACCTCTGCTTCCCAATATCATCCCTGATTGAATCCAGCACATTCTCACATGCACCAGATTCCTCAAATTCTCACTCCCTAACCAATCATCCAATCACACCCCTTTTCATTCAGTATTTAAACCCCCTTCGCACACCTTCCCACGCTCACTATTGAGAAGCCTTCATAGTATTCTCCAGTGCGCGTTTCCAAACTTTTTGACTGATCTCCCGTGACGAATCTTCTGCTTCCGCCTCTTGACCTCGCCTTCTGGATTTTGACTTTTGGATTGTTTTTGGATATCTCTCGTTACTGGACCCTTTGCCTCCCTTATCGACCCAGCCTTTGGATTTTGTCTTTTGGATTGTCCCTTTGCTACTCTGCGTCCTGTGGGATTCCGGTCACGCACAAGGATCCTCCTATTCCACGTATAGGTTCCGTGACAGGTACTGGTTAGTTCTCTTGTAAGATGATCTCCGCTGGCTGGTGGTCGTGACAGCAACCAGTTTCAAGATTATTTTGATATTCCAATCTTCTTACTGGAACGTTTGCCAAAGATATTCCTAATATTGGTTGGTTAACGTGGTCCAGCAAGAATGCAGAGAACATGGACCATACAGTTCAAATCCACTGTGTCTTGTGTTCTTTCATCATACGCCCCGGTGTATCATTCCAGCTCCAGTCAGCTAAGGGTTGCCAAGGAACAAGCCTGGGATGACAATCTAGATTCTAGAACAACGGATGAAACCTGAACTACATGTCTCTGGGAGGCCAGTGAAAAGCAGAACCTGTCAAAAACCCACAAAAACCCTAGAGGAGCTCTAACTACAGTACCATATCAGCCACCCAGCTGTATCTGTACCCATATATTATACTTTTTAGGAATTCCTGGAGTTTCCAGAAATGGGGTAGAGTTTCCAGAAATGGGGTAAAGTAATCCATAACAAATTAAAAACATAATAAAAATCATTTCGTGCAACTTCATTTTCTGTCAAAAATAATTATGTCAATTCAAATGAACACCCGGTTAATAACGTACGTGCATTTTGAAATAAACATACTGTACTTCAAAATCTGAAGCCTTAGAATCCAGAAAATGAACAATGACTGGTTTGTCAGCACCATTGAGAGAACAAAAAAATGAATAAAAACATTGATAACATTGCCAATTATTGAGGTATATATTTTTAGTATCACGTATAGTGGCCGATGAAGACAGTTGAGGAACAAAAACATGGAACTACGACACTTTTAAATGTAAACATCAAAATAAAATTCAAATAAATTCCCTTGAAAGTCAAGATTGCAAAGTTTTCATTAGAGGAATTCCTCAACAGATTCTAAGTGCTTCATCACATTGAAATGTCAATTTTAACAAAGGAACTGTAAAACGCAAAAGAGCAATGTAATTGCCTGTTCTTTGAAGTTAAAGTGAGTCTTTGGTCATGTTTTTCAGTTAACCAAGATGCACATAATGACAGTGTTCTCATTTTTCTCCATTCTAAGACCGATGCCCATGTTACAATCATCTAAACAGGCTGAGCAGTGTTCTTGCTTACCTGGGCACCCAGTTCATTGTACTGCAGTTTGAGAGCTGTGAGTCTCTCATCCAGCTCCTTTGGGCTCTCAGTCTGTTGCCTCTGGACAATCTGTCTCCCCGTCTTGATTACTGTCTCCACTTCTGACTTCACCTCACTCAAACTCTTGTAAAATTTCTATTTGATCATACAAAAAATACACAAGCACCATTTTCATGAAAGAGGGGCATCTCAAGCACTTTCTCACTGAGCAACAAAAAGACAACAGGTATTCAAATGTTTGCATCCTTCCATGCCTTTGTTAATCTTAAACTTTGTTCCTGTTATTTTTTGTTAAGTCTAGAAAATGTGAGAATGCTGTCAGCATTTCTTCAGAGTGAGAATATGAGTGACATGTTATTCACTCCTGCATCTCCTACTAAACACAAGGCACATACTGTAATATATATATACTGTATATAATATAAAGTGTTTCAGATTATTTAAAAAAATATATCATCATTGCCCTTGAAAACTGAATGATCAGAATTGAGAGAACAGAGATCTTTTTCTTGGACACAGTATTTCTAAAAAGCTTTAACTCAAGGAGATAGTTTACAGTAAACATCTGCAAACCCTAATAAGAAAAAAAAATATGTTGATTGCATAAGCAGTCAGATCTGTGAACTCAACATTTGGTGGAATCACAGTTGGCAGCCATAGCAGTCACAAGACTTTTCGTGTAAGTCTCTACAAACCTGGTACAATTGTTGTCCATTCTTCTTGGAAGATTGGTTTCAAGCTTTCCCAAACCACTTGGGGATTGCTAATGGACAGCAGGTTTAAAACCATTCCACAGATTTTCAATAAGACTCAAGTCAAAGGACTTTGGGCGACTCAAGAACATACACTTTCTTTTTTTAAGATACACCAGTTTAGCATTACCCTCATGGCTGTCCCATTGTATTTTCATATTTATTATCTAGTTACTGTAGTTCTTTCATTTTCTTTTTTTTCTAGGTTGTATATCTAACACATTAATTTCTACTTCCAGGTGTCATGGCTGCAAGCTTTACAGCAACAAAAAGTGAAAACTGTGCAAAAATCTGAATACTTCTACAAGGCATTGTAACAACGTTTAGCCAACAAGGTTCAATCACAGATATCTGATTCATGCCAATACAAGATCTGTCTCTCATCATCATGATAAATAAATCCCCTTTCATTCTCAACTCATATTGCTTACATTTCAGAGATTAAATACTCTAGCACAACTGGAGTTCCCTTACAGAACCTTCTTCTGCACTTTTTCTGTATTTTTTATCAGTATTATGTTGCAAAGAACTATTATCAGAACTGCATGAAGACATTGGCTCAGGGCAGTAGTCTGCTCAATGTTCCTTTCACTTTAACACATCAGAATACCATTACTTTAGTAGGACCAGATATTAACAGAGTCCTTAGGGCCCTGCAAACTTCAGTAAGACTAATTTCATTTTACCAACTTAGAAATATAACATTTTCATGAGCCTAAATAAATTAGATAATATACTCAGATATAATCATGTTACATATGCAATTATTTTGCAAGCAAAATATATTTTGAAAAGCTCAAATAAATGCCAGGTTTGTACACTGAAACAATAAATCATAACAGATTTTTTAAATTAGTTTGCAGTACTTCTGGGACTAAAACACAAGGTAACTAAATATTCTACAGAGTTACTCAAGCTTTTTTTAAACTTTTTTTTTATGATGTAGTTAGTTAGATTATACTTTATTAATCCCGTAGGGAAATTGATGTACCGTAAATTGCATTTATAAACACTTCAGACGTCATGTATATTTATGAAGTTTCAAAACTGACATAAACGTGATAATAGCCAAACTCAGTTAATTGAATACAGTAATCCCTCGGATTAACAGATGTCACTTTAATGGACTTCAGATTTAGAGGAAAAAATCTCTTTTATAGGAATTTTATCTGTAAAATCAGAAAAACCAGGCTTTCCCTGCAATAATGGACAGTCTTAGTCCAGTAAATGGGCTTGGTTTAGGGAAAATGGAAGAAATAAAAGTATAAATGAGTTGTAAAATACATTTAACGTAAAATATTGTTAAAGTACTGAACAGCGATTGCATCGTGGTATAAATAATGGAGTGTATGTAACATGACAAATTTACAGAGACTTACAGCCACTTAAATTACAATAGATAGATATGCATAAAAACATTTTGTATGACATACCTATAAATAGCCCTAAAGGGCATGAAAATAAATTCATAGGTGTATGCAAAATGCTTATGATGGGTGCTTTTTATGTTTCATATGCTTTCGTAAATTGTATGCAGTATATTTAAGAATAATGAAAAAAGGAGATTGTACAAAATTTATGGTACAAAATGCACAGGGGGAATTTTAATTGATTGTGTTGATTGCAATTATTAAAAAAATTAGTTAAAAATCAAGAAAGCATATACTGCATATAGTGTACATACTGTACTGTATATATACATTCTTTTTTCCCATATAAAAAGTGTTTTTGGGGATGGAAAAATGTAATTCCAGATTGTCAGTAATGGACAACCTTTCCCCCCATTACACCAAGAGTTTACTGTATTAACAACAAAACCCTAATCCTAACCATAGGATGATAAGACATACTGTAAGTATGATACGATTTGAAGTACACATGGAATTTGTTTAATACTATGGATGCTAGTCTCTACCTAGAAATTAGCTTTGAAAATTCCTTCTATAACTTTTTTTGCCTACAGTAGCTCATTTCTAGATGCTCACAAAATACACTCAAGAGAGGACTGTTCTTCAACTGCACATCTGGTATAAACATTAACACAGTCCATTATTACCAAATAAATTACTTTTTACCAATAGATCTTAATACTTCCAGAAAACTGGCATTTAGTTCAATATTTCTTCATTTGCAGTTTGAGAGTATTTTGGGAAGGGTCAATGTGAAAAAATGCATGACTAAGGTGAACATTCCTTAAAAGTAAAACTCATGCTGATGAGTACTGTACATTTTGGTGCTCTCAGAATTTTGTATTCATGTGTTACTCTTGTAACATTGTAAACCTTTGCATGTTTCTTAACCCTATTTGTAATGATCGTTTTTTACAAAAATATTTTTAAAACATGTTTCTGTTCTGCACATGGAAAAAGAAGAGAGAGGCTACACCCACCATACACTGATCCAGCTGTGACTGTACCACATCCTGCTCCACACTTCTCATCGCCAGTACCGGCAGCTGTGACTTCACCTCATCCAGAACCGTCTTACACTCCAAAAACCGCTGATCGAAATTGGCTGGCTTCTGAAACAAGCGGAACTTTGTGGAGACCTCTTGAAGTTTCTTCTGTAAAAACGAAAGCACATACTGTAGCACAGGGACAAGCACATGAGTTCAAAAAAGGGCTCGGAGATTTTCCTAAATATATTGATATGCTAATAGTAGTCATTATATCCATCCATTTTCTGTGTATTCCCACATTTGCTTAAACTATTGCAAGCAATGGGCACAAGGCAGGATACACTCTGGACAGGAAGCCTGTCCATCACAGGGCTCACACGCACACTCGCACAAGGGCCAATTTTACACAAGCCAAAGGTAATGTCATTGTTAAGTAAACAAACTATATATATAAAATTCTGTTGTAGTCATTTTGAATTTTTATCTAAACATATTCAAAACAACAGAAAAAAGGAGTAGCTTTGGTGAGTTGGGACGATAATTCACAGAAATATGTAAGAAAATGACAATAAACAGGAGTTAGGAGTTTTCGTTTAAATGTGGCATTTGTCCACTTTTAGCTGGCCTCACTGTGCACAAAGGACATCTGTAAACAACAAGTACAAATTCATATACTAACAACCTGAGTCAGCTGTTCAAAAAAAAAATAAAGGTCTGGGAATGACCACACAGTTAGAGGTCAACATTAGGTAAAACACACATTTTACAGTATGTGTTTTTGTGACAAAGTGACAAAGGAGTCACTTTTTAGTTTTAGTCATCTTGCTGAAAGAAAAAAAGACAAAGAATAAAGTGTGTGCGGTGTGCTATAGTTTGCCTCTCTGAGGTGGCAGCGAAAAAGGGAAAATAGCTGTGGAACTGACTCAAACAGAAGAAAGGATGGGAGCTTACAGGGCAATCAAAACAGAGAATAAATCATTGTTAAATGCAGTTTGCTAAACTAGACCACAAATCAGATGAGAGGGGGAAAGCAGCTTGGTACTAGAGAAAAAGAGCTGACACATACAGTAGGAGTGCACCAGAAACCCCCCTCATCAGGAACAGTGCGTCTGTTAATTAAAAATAATAAAACTTCCCAACAGGCAGGGCTGTTTTAAAAGCCATTAAAAATGGGTTACTTTTCAAGCAGCAACTGGATATTGAGTTCCATCCCCCTATTGACAAAATAATAAAACTCTGTCTCCTTAATGAGCCTTTTATAGAAGGGAGGCAATGACTTCCTCTGCAGACCTGTCTTCGTCTGTCCTTCCTCCCTCTTAATTAAACTGTAAAGGAAAAAAAATAAATCTGCAAACAATCTCGTCGTTTGAAAGGAGGCACCTGTTCTTTAGAGAAATGAAAATGGTGAAGTGAAAGGATAAATTTCAAACGAATAGAGTGTCAGGGGTTGTTGATGGATTTGACTCATTCACGTTGAATTTAATGTTTACACCATAGATTAAGCATTGTTCCCAAGAGCCAATGGGAAAAACACTCGACTTTACACCATTATTTTGAAACAACGCCTCCTTTTCCACCACCGTTCTCCTCAGGTCCTCAGAGAGGTTAGTAAAGAGAGAAGGCCAATTGGCTCATCGAGCTGTTTGGTTGCAAGCAGAGATTCCAGCAGAAAGCCATGACACCACCTTCAACAACTTCATAATTTTGAAGAAGTCCATAGTATTGACACTGCCGATGCCTTTGAGGATTTTGAGGAATTAAATCAGGGCCCCTAATAGTCTTCCATGTTCAAAACTAATAGATTCAGTTCTTGTAGCCTATGAGAGTATGACATTCTTTAAAGCCTGAGAATGCACCTATTCACTCTTCCTTGGACTGATTCCAGAGTAGCAATATCTTTTATAATACTGTACAGTGACCAATCTTATAAACGAGGTTGTTCTAGATCATTATATTCTTTTAACATAACACACCTTGATTTAAAGCCTATATTTTTAAACTATATACAGTATAATAACTTTGTTTGCATTTATATGGCTCCTCCACATTGTCTAGAAGAAGTACTGTAAATGATATGTCGTTTTAAATACCTACTCTAAGTCTTTTTTAAATGTAAGTTCTACAAGCTTAATGTTTCCCATCCAGTTTGAAACTTGTTTTTTTTCTGCCTGCACTTGTCAACATTAAGTGCCATGTGCCAGATGTTTTCTAAGCATCACCATAATTTGAGCTTTTATGCCATATCTGTACTTTCCTTATTTCTATGAATTATCAAGTTCTCAGTTCACATACAGTACAGTGCATGCATTACCACAGATGCCTACAGGAAGTAGAAACATGCACTACAGATATTGCATGAGTGATTCTAAGACGCTGATGGTTTATAGATGTTTATGTGGATTCATTCTATACCCTCATCACAACAATGTGGGGAAGCAATAAAAAATCAATCAGGATGCTGGGTTATATAACATAATGTGTGGAATTTAAATCAAGGTTAGTTATTTTCAAACTGAACAATGCATTCGTGAGATCCAATTTAGAATATTGTATAGTATTCAGTTTTGGTCATCAAACTGCAAAAAAAATCTATTATAGCCTTAGAGAGAAGTCAAAGAAGAGCAAAAAGAATGATTTCTGGTCTCAGGAGATTGTCAAATGCAGACAGGGTAAAACAGCTAAATCACATCAGTCCAGAACAAACAAGATTAAGATATTTCATCCAAGCATATAAAACCCTAGGGGATTTTACTGTAGATAAGATGAAATCAGGAGACTTCTTAAAATTCTGTAGCCAAATTAAGGGCGTAGACTCACACCTGAAAACTAAGAGGGACATTTTAGGATGGAGAATAGGAAATCCTCCTTTGCACACAGAGTAGGTATCTGGAACAGGTGTCTCAGTCAGGCAGTTGAGGAAACCAACTTTGGTTTCCTACGAGGAACACCTGGATGAATTTTAGCAATTTTACAACAAAATTCCTGAAAATGCTGAAATTACTGAAAAAGAAAAGACAGGTGGAATTCTCATATTTCTTAAATTCTTATTTTCGCTTAGGAATTTTGACTCCTTTAAGTACAGTAGGTGGTTTCCTGTCGGTGGGTGTCACTTCTGTTGCACTGACTATTGAGTTAATGGTCTATAAATAACATCCCTCATTTCCTTTAGTATAATTAGTAGAATAGCATCGCACCCTGGTAATTGGTTTCTCATAAAGGCTTCTCATGTGCCCATCCAAATCATGAAAGCACTGTTTCTCTGTTACTTTAAAACAGATGTTACAATGGATAAGTCCTTATGTTTCACTTAAAAAACATTTTCATTTTTACAGCTAGTTTTTATAACTTTCATTAATCATTATTTAGCAGAAGGCATTATCCGTGGACATAACACCTTAATACACCAAACAGAAAATCTCTGGTTACTTCTTTGAGCAAACTACCTGATCAGAAGTGATACAATATATATTTATTTTTATTTACATTATGTAAAGAAAAGCTGTTTTGAAAGAAAAGTTTGTATGGCTATTGCATAAGACAAAGAATACATCTGCAGCTGTTGGTATACTCAGCAACATGTGACATGTAACACATCAGCTAAATTTTTGGTAAACCACAGGAATCTAATATACTGTAGTTATCCAAAGATCCCCTTTGCAGCTGCACTGAAACAAGTTCAAGTATTAAATTTAGAAAAGCAAAGGTACAGACGGCACCTTCATTCTGCAATCTGAACAGAAAGTGTTGTTGTACCAGCCACTGAAATGTCCAAGAAGATTTATTTCACTATTTGCCTAGAAAAGTCATCCCTAACCCATTCAAATCATGCAGTTCTAATATGCCTGCATATGAAAACAAGTTATTTAACATACAGTAACTTGCTTAACACAGAGGGTATGACCTGAATTTCTGCATACAGGATTATTAAGGAGCTTAAGGTAAAACCTTAACTTTCCACTGGCTATCTTGCCCATGAAGCACCTCCTCCCACCAAGCTCAGGTGTCATGTTTCTTCTCTGAAAGCTGCTGAAAGACAGGCCTCAGCCAGACCGCAGCCCAGACCTCTCACCTGCGTCATGTTGATCTGAGACTGAACTCGCTCCGAGAGAGCCTTCCCCTCGTTCCTCTTCTTCATTTCGTCAAGGCTGATTTCATGGCTGCTCAGCTCTGACTGGATTTTCTTTTAAAATCAAGGGAAAAGGAGAAAAGAAAAAAAATAGCCTAGCTCATTCTGGATGAAAAGGATTTAATACTGACCACAAAACCACTTAATAATTTATTCAGGGAGATACCTGCCAAGCGTCACCTTTTCACCCCCCTTGGGCATCTTCTGTAATTACTGTGGCTTTATAAAAACATGAGTTTTGGGAGTACACACGTCCTGTTTTTTTAAAAAGAATAAAAAATCTCTGGTGGCATAAAATGCATTACTGTTGGTTATAGGTTTTTTTTTAATAACTGTTCTATTCCTTGCTTCAGTTAAGGATCTTTCTGCAGTGATACATTCCTCCCCTAACACAATTATTGTTATTTTTGGCTTAGGCTTATCTCCTTTTAAAGATTAAAACCTTTCTTTTTTTTTCCTATCACACACATTAGGGATGATACAATAATAAAGCAAAAGATACATGAAAAAAAAAAATGTGTACAATACATTCACTCTAGTCCTTTCCCAGACAAGAGAGATATAAATGGGTCACCACACTGGTCTGCTTCTGTGTGATAAGAAGATATTGTGAAGGGGAAAGGTGTGAGCTCTGAAGGTCCCAGGTGTGCAGTCTGCACTCACTGGAGTGTGCCATGCTTCTAATTACAAAAGCCCTGTCTGTGCCACTCTACAATGCTTTGGCATCACAACAGCGTATTAACACCACTCCATAGCCCCTTGATATTGTAAGAGCAAATAAATAGTTAGTCTAGGCTAAGTAGTTATCAGATGTTTAATGCTCTGCCTGTGCTGCAGGAAAGATATCAGGGATCTCCAGTGGCAGAATTTAAATTTAGAAAGAGCCGGATGTGTGATGCCTGAAGATGCCTCTCAGTGCATTAATCCACAGCTGTCAATCTGCTTGTTATAGACTACTTTTAATTTTACAAGTCACCGAACAAGCTGTCGGTACAGTATATACTGTATAGAATAGCATCCTTATGCTGACCATAAGTAACCTTCAGCATCCGCAATATAAACTGTACATATATGTTCTTATTGTATTACATGTTCAAGATATACTATCAGACCTTGTGCACCAGCAGATGTCTTTCTGGAGTTCTCTATACAAGGATAAGAGGTTTTACTGACTGATTTGTTATGCAAATGTTACATAACATCCACTGAGACTGGCAGTGGATTCAGCTCCGAAACCAGCAATCTTATGCTTTTCCTTGGGTTTAAAGTGATGGAAGTTTAAATCATTACATTTGCTGAAGTTTTTTTCCGCATATAATACTTCATGCTAAATTCTAACTATTCCCTAGAAGGCAGAGCAGTTCCTCATGAAATTTGCACATTAGTGTTGATGATTTATGTAAACTACTACAACGGCTGCTAATTTGTTATTTTTTAACATTAACAGATGTGAACAAAGTAGACTTGGTCTCCATGGATAGAAAATGCAATTCAACACAGATGTATCAATTCACAAAACACATCTGTGCACTTGGAAAACATGTTTTAAGTGCTGTCTACACACCACAAAAGTAAAAGTTAACTTGTGTTGGAGAACATTAAAATTAAAACTATGAAGCATAAATTGTGAGGTATGAGATCATCTTTGAGGGCAGGCTATTTTTTTTCCAGAACACGAAGTCTGGTTATTTGACATTATGAAAATGGAATATGATCCTGTAATAAGATGAACTGTGAAAATAACACTTGATTACAACTGCAGTATTTATTTTATGGAAGCTACTGATGTGTAAATAAAAATAAAGCAGATCAAATGTCTGAGATTTTCTTTGCAGTCAATTCATTAAAACACAGAAAAGAGATTATACTTTAACACTTCCATAAAGAAGAGTTTGGTAGTTTTTAGCTTTTAGTCCTCTGATTAGAAGCAACTCTCAACCTATAGTCATTTCCAAAGGAAATAGTTTCTACTGGTTGGAGTGTTGAGCAGAAAAGTTCACATGTAATGGCAGGCTCTTCTGAAAAGTTACAGGAACAGTACACATTTTTCAAGATTTTTAAGCGGAACACTCTTTAAAGTGCTAATTGACAATCTAATACTGAAACTCGGGTTACTGGTTGGTAGCTTTGCTTTTGGGGGAGTTTATTAAACGAATTCCACATAGTATCATACTGAAACAGTTTTACCTTCTGTGATTAGGACTTTCAATGTATAACATCGTGTGATGGTACTGAAATTTGGACTGGTTTCGTGTATATGCATTTGTGCTCTGCATGTACAAATGTGGCCATTCTTGCACTTACAGTGATTAATGTCTCTTAAGCCTATTACATATGGATAACAGGCTGACTTTAAGCCAGTTTATCTTTTAATGCTGCTGTGAATGGCAAGGAGTTTCTATTTTCGCCATTCAAAGTATCAGAGCTACCAATGATATCTAATTCCCTGGAAGCCAGACCTGTGCATACCACTCAGACAGGTGGAAAGGTAATGATGTAGAAAGGAGGGAGTAAAAACTTCCTCCTTGTTCCCGGCATCAAGCATTTCCTGTGGACCACCACAAGATGGGGTATGGCTCCCATGAAAAAATACTACTTCTACCTTAGTAATCAAAGTAGCAAGGAAACCCACATTATTCGCTGAAGATTTGATTGGTAATTAATTATTTTTTGCTCCTGATTTAAAATGGATATCACTGTGCGATTGGTCATTTGAAGTAAATGAAGCAGGTAACATCTATGTTTACATACAGTGTTTTTCTGTACAACATACTGCATTCTTTTTTGTTTGCCTTCTGAATACTACAAACTGAATTTCGGGTACCTTAACAATAAATCACAGAATGTATTTAATTGTAACACGTAAGCTAGAAGAATAATATTTACATTTGTAAGTAAGCTAATTCCAGCAAATATGGTTTTGATTTAACAGCACTTTATGATATAATGAAAAATGTATTTGCCACATTACGTTTCCAATTACTGAACCTGCTTTCTTAACTCACTAAGTGAGAGACTGCTCAGATTTGATCTTCAGCAGATCAGTTACTCATTGGTAGCCATCTCTAAGCCTGATCTCAAAAACTGACCGAGGCTGGAACTGCCATTGGTGAGCACTGGGATGAGACACCTCTGAGGTAAACCTGGTTGCTGCTATAATTGGTGCTCATGAACCAATAGGTGACAATCTGCCCTGACAATCTACTCCAGTATGGTGACCACTAAGACTGTGTTTTAGGAAGTGCTCAGTTTGAGATTAAACATTCTACTGGGGTCCAGACTGCGTGGTGACTAAAATCCCTGTTGTATCCATGAAATCCTTGGCACAGTTCATACTGTAAGAGTAAGAGTGTTAATCCCAGCGTCCTTTAGAAATTCCACTTTACAGTTTGTGTAATGTGGCCTGGAATTCAACTGGCAAAGCAGTCTCACTTCTCCATCTCATCTCCTGAGTGCTGTAGTGGTGGCTGAAGTGGGTCCCCTCCTACAGTATATAGTGTGTCGAGCAATGTGGGATCTTTTAAGATAAAAAAGGCACTATAAACGCAAGGAAGTGCTCATTATTAGTAATAAAAGTACCAGACTTCAATACATACTCCATGGTTTGCTGAAAAGAATAAAAACAGTAGAGGTTTAACACTTTGTTGCTTCTGTATTACTGTCATTTCTTACTTTAAATTAACAATGGAGCTTGTTTGGGATGTGACGTAAAGAGTTGTTGAAATACTTTATGGTGTTGCAAGCTCAGGTTGCAAAAGAGTAAATGACTTGCCTTTTGTGTCAAAGTATTTTTCCACGTTCAGCTTTTTATAATATACTGTTCTTTACCTGTGCTTCCTGTGGTATTTGACCTGCATCAACGTGATCGGCTATATAGGCAGAGAGGTGGCGGTCTATGGTTGCTAGAGATTCCTGAATCAAGCGAAGGGCTTTGTCCGTCTCCTGGGCTGACTGGATACTCTGCTCCAGCATCTGTTGCCTCCTAACAGCCTTAAAAAGAAAACGATCAACAGGTTGTTAACTGATTAATGGAAGAGAATTTTAAGTTCCAGTAGGAATCACAGCAATCCACCATTTGGTTATCTCCTGCCTTCAAAGGCTTACCTTGTAAAAAATTAGTAAAATTAAAGTTTTTGTTAAACTGTATCTCACTAATTTGTTCTTAATATTCTTGCCGTACATCTTTTAAGTATTTCTCAAAGAGATTTTTATGCATGGGCAATAGCTACTAAAGTTCAAAGAGAATCAAACAGTAGAATGTGAATACTACAAAAGGTCTATTATCATTATTTTAAATCCCATTTAAATAGATTTAGAATAAAGTGCATGTCAAAAGACATACTGTAGCAAAAGTGATAAGACCAAAAAAAGGAAAAACTGCATACTAAGGGTTCAGACATTTCATTCAGGAAGAAGATGTACTGTTCCTGAGGAATTTTGTCCATGTGAAGAAATACTTCTGGCACATATTTTATGGCATATTAAACTTAATTGCACAGTAAAACACAAACATTTTTGTCTTTGCACTACGATTTAAACCCATAGTAAAATGTTCCCAATTACACAAACAGTTCTTAATCTAAGTACCCAATTAAAGTCACTGCCAAAGTACAGCAGCCCACTTGTCTGGTAGCCTCGCATAAACAGCACATGTGACCTCTAAAAATTTTAAAAAGAGAAATTCTAGGAGCGTTAATGCTACTGTAGCTGCACAACAAAATTTAAATGACATAAAATCAGAATGCTACCTTTTTGTAAGATAACGTCCTCGTGAGCTTTCTGCCCATAAAAGCTGTTCTCCTTGAGCAGGAAGCATTGACGTCTCACTCACTCACTCAGTTCCCGTCCCTCAGTCCACTCAGTATGTGTTGACTGCCACCCTGATTAAGGCTTTCAACCTCCCTCCATGACCAGGAACACCATTCAGCTATTCACAGCCATTGTACTCTGATCTCATTACACACTGTAGTTGAGGAGCTTTCTTACACTAAGAACAGGGGCAGCACAGAAAGCTAATCCATTCCAGAAGAAGTTATGCCCCATACTGCTATTTATAACCACAGGCATTAAAGTGAAAACAGTAAACGATTTTCAGTTACCATATTTCTGTTAATGTTTTACGTTACCTTTGTTGCATTCTATTATAAGAACTTAAGAAAGGCTGCATACAAGAGGAAGCCATTTGGCTCATCTGCTTGTTAGGAGCTTATTGATCTTAGGATCTCATCAATTCTGATTTTTCTTTGAGAAAAAAACATTGAGGTCCTTTGATTACGTTAGAACTGTGAAAACCATTCAATATTAAATTGACATTATACATAGATATACTATGGATTTTTAATATCTTTTTAGTTTTTAAAATGCACACCTGTATAAAATAGAGGTTTCATACAGAATTATGCGTGCATGTACTGTATAGTGTATAGAAAGCAGGCAGAGTAAGGTACTGTACTTTACTGAGTTAAAAACAGAACTGCTAATATTAAGCTGCAATCACTGCTATGAAACATAATTTTAATAAAATGTGAAAAAAGCATTTTCAAAGCTTAGAAAATACTTAGAGACTGAATGTTATAAAAAGGGAGTGATTATAAACCATTCCATTAATAAGTAGAGAGAATAGGTTTAAAGGGATATGCTGTACAGTAAAACTTCATAGCACGCATGGAACAGAAACAGAGGAAAATACTTTACAGTATATGCAGTATTTCTCATCACTTTGAGGGTGTTACAATCTTTGTATAAATACATAAATTATTTCTTAGTTATCACACAATAGAGCAGTCTACTGCAGTTTGATGTGTTTTAATCATGGAGATGTGCGACAACCAGAACTTTTTTACAAATAATACACAAAAAACCTGCATGTCAGTTATTTTAATGGTGTCTTCTGATGCAAAACACAGTAACCCTCTTATAAAGGCCTTAATTATGCTGAATTGAATTAACCTTAACCTTTATTGCCCCTAAGGGAATTTGCCTGTTAACGGATGTCTTCTACTGTAGTTTCAAAGACAAAATACTCTAAAGGAATTGTAAAGATAAAAAGATTTTGTCAGTTACTACTTTACTTCCAAAAACAAGCTTGCCATCAGTTAACTTCACAGCCTCTTTACCCTTATCAATGGTAAAAAATACATGGAGAAATAATTTCCTATTTCTTTCTACAGGACTGGCCCTTGACGTGCTCAATCTGCACACTCCCTAGTACAGTTCACATTGAAAAGCTGCAGACTCCCCAACGCCCAGACACAGTAAAGAGATTTAGGGACTAGAAGCTAAGCTTGATGTCCTTTTGTCCTCAAGGGTTTTTCTGCAGCACTTGTTGTGATTCACCCTGTATCCATAGTCTATAAAAGAGACCACAGCACTGCCCTTGGCCTTATGTTTAACTACTGTACATCTTATTTCAACTCTTACAACCTTACGTTCCTTAAAGCTGATCCACGGGTTCATGCCTTGTTGTTCACTTCCTTATTTTGTTAACGCCATTACGAATCTCCTGTTCCTTTGTAGAGCTTCATCCCTGAATGATTTTGAAAGTTCCTTGGTTCTTCATGGTTGAATCTTTGCTTGAAATTCACTGCCTGACAAGAGGGACCTCACACAGACAGGTGTGTTTATTTTGAAGTCACATGAATCACAACTTGTGCACGCAGACAGAGGTCACTCAACTAACTGTGTACTGTAGCTTGTTAAGGTAATTTTGTGCACCTAATTTAATGTCAATTTGGCACAGCAAAGGCTTTGAAAACTTAATCACGCTGACATTCCTATGATTTTTCTTCCGTATTATCTGTTTTTTTTGCTTTAAATGTGCGGTGTAGCGGGTGGCACGGTGTGACAGTGGTGATCCAGCGCTGGGGCCCCCGAGCTCAGTTCCTGACCTGTGGTGCTGTCTGCATGGAGTTTTGTATCTTCTCCCCCGTTTGTATGGGTTTTCACTGGGTGCTCCAGTATCCTCCCTCAGTCCAGAGAGATACTGGAAGGTTAATTGGCTTGGCTTCTATGACAACTGGCCCTGTTGTGAGTGTGCGTGTGTCTGGGTCTGTGTGTGCCCTGCGATGGGCTGGCGCTCCATCCACCGTGCTCCATGGCGTGCCTTGTCTCCAGCTCCCCCCTGCCCACGTACTGGATTGGGTGAAGTGGTTAGAGAGTGGATGGGCGGACGTGTGGAGTAGGTGGCGAATTTAAGTGTCAATTGCTGCCTGGGAGTGTCCTGACTGCAAGCTTTAAAACAACAAAACAGGAAAACTCTGCAACTTTTGAGAGGCACTGTATATAAAAATGACAAATTGTAGTCATTTCTTCTGGAAGACCAATGTCTTCTCAAAGAAGGAATGGCTTCATATACAGTATACAGTTACCGGGTTACATTAGGATTCTGTTCCATAGCTCAATTTTACACAAGCCGGAAGTGACCTTCATTCAGCCACGGCCTGAACACGTGTAGAGAATTACCATTCGTGATATTGCAGCGCTCCTCCATTATTTTCCCTGGCTCTGTCAATGAGTGGGGAAGGAGGGACAGGAGAGAAGAATTGCAGGCTCACCAGGGTTAATTGTCCTTTAATGGTTAACAGGTGTGTGTGCTGATCATGGAGGGGGATAGGGAGCAAGAGAGAGAAGGTAGCAGCAGCTACTGTGGCAGCCCATCAGGAACAGTGTGGGAACTTTCTCATTTGCATATGGGGTGAGAGTAATGGCATATATATCGATGAATGAAAAAAAAAACATTTTAAAACCCTTTAATTAAAATAATTAAACATCCAATATAGCATAAACATGTTAATATGCAGTACAGCAAATAAATTAGGCATTTGAGAGAGTGCGAATTACCTTTAAACAAATTTATAAACAGTGTACGTTTCATTCCGCCTGAACTGCATTGTTCCCTAATTAAACACCAAATGAAACACAAGGCAAATAATACAATTATTCAAATCACTTTGGTGCTGACTCTTATGATTGCAATAAGAGTGCTTGACAATTCTCAGTGGAAAAGCGTGAGATGGTACGCAGAAGTTTCCATATGTGAGTGAAAGCAAAACGAGACTGAAGTGTGAAACAGAGCTACTTACTTTGACTCCACACTACTCATCTGTGGAAGGATCTTACCACATTATTTGCTCTTAAAGTAAGATAAGTTACATGTAACTCAAAAATGTGATCATGGGACCCATGTAAGGTACTGTACATAACCTGGGGAGTTAATGACTTTAGAAACTTTTAGCTTCAATTTAAAATCTATTTCAGTTTTTTCTTCCAATTCCAATTAACATCTGTACATTTTCAATTCACACGCTTTAACTGAAATTAGAAATTTATTTTTTTCTAATTTTAAACCTCAATAACAAAGTAACTTTTAGAAAATGGAGAATGCATTTAAAAAACATGTTGCAAGAACTGTGTTGCAAGCTTTAATTTGCATACTTCATACAGTAATTAAAACTCCTCAAGACTGTTAAAAACATATGTTCCATCTAGCAAACGTTCCTTTATACAGTATATATACAGTACAGTAACAACCCCCACCCACAATTTAAGTAAAAAGTCAGCACCCAAACTCTACGGGTTGAAGAACAACCCCAAAACAATCAAAAGACACAAAGATACATGAAGGATGCCTAGGTTATTGAGTTATTCTTAATATTAATGTTATTCAGAACCTGGGTCATCACGTTCGGGAACAATTCTTGAAAATGATAAGCAAAGGTGATTGAAACATCAAACACATACTTAACCCACACACTACTAGAGTTAAGAACAGAAAACCGAAGCACCTATTGATATAAGGAGTTGTCAATATGCTAAGATTTTGAAATGAATAGTCAGACAGACTCACCTGCTGTAGTAGTTCCTCGCACCGAGTGTTAAACGTTTCCAGCTTCTCATTGATGAGCTCATCCAGAACCCTGCCATCTGTCAGAGTTTGGGCCAGCTCACGGATCTGATTGCGGTTGTCTTCTGGGTGCCGAAGACTGCTCTCCAAGGACTTGGGAGAGAAAAGTCAAGGAGCTTTTAAACACTGTCATGCCCTGCCTTTATCAGTGGCTCTATCTACAAATGTGTCACTCGAGATGGCTTGATTACATCATCTTGAAGAGGTACAGAGGTGATCAGGTGCATCTTTTATGCAATACAAAAGGCATTTAAACCTAGAATAAGCTTCTGCATTCGATGCTGCCCTGAGGACTCGACTTAGTAACTAGTCATCACCTGAACGTGTACAAGGATTCTTTGGTTCAATAACATAAATGTACAGATTAAAAAAAACATGATTCATTAGTGATTCACAGACAGATACCTATCTTCTTCTTTTATGTATAAAAGGGTAATGCAATAACCTGACGCTACTGTATTTGTCTTTTTTGCAATACTGTACATCTGCATAATTACAGCAACAGCTATAAGTAATTCATGTGCCCTGTAAAGCCCACAAAGACTGGCTTAGAGGAGAACTGACAAATAGGTCTGAGACAGAAAAGGACTGCATTTGACTTGATTTTTTTCTGCTGTGATGGCTTATATGCAGTTCTGCTACAGCTCAATTGCTGGTTCTGCAGGACTCACATCCAGTGCCTCGGAGATCTCCTCCGCACCACCCTGAATGTTCTCTGTGTTCCTGAGCTTCAGCTCCAGCTCGTCCAGCCACCTGTTCTCTGCCTCCAGGTAAGACAGCAGCTCACACCAGCAGGCCCACACCTCCTGCGGAGAAACAACACACACTCGCGGTTAGGTGCCTTGTGAAAGCCGTGTGGGAAGCTCTGGGTGCAGAACTTAAAACATATTGACAGCCTATTAAACCTAAACCCCTTTATTTAACTCACCATACTGTACATACCTCTGCAGTCAACAGTGAAGGAAGGAAGAGTGAAACCCACTCAAAGAAAAAGAAAAACACATGTAGATTTGGTTTAAAAATAGACTGTTCCCCATAGCCTTCTCACACAGTTATCCTATATGATGAGTATTCATGGAAGGATGTGCCACAAAAGTACATAATTCTCACACACTCCAGAGTCAAGATCCATCATGGATTGATAAATGCAACACACTTTAAAAAAAAGCAGGTTTAGGACCTTTAAGCTCCCATAAGTGCTTAAGGTCATTAATTTCCACGCATTTTTATTATCGCATCTGCATCAGGCATCCCCAAGGGCACTTTCAGTTAGAGAAGCGAGGATGGGAATGGATCAGTACAATGATTCTGCAGTCTTTGGTTATACCCTTTGGACCAAACCTCAACGCTCATGTAAGGCATAAATCCAACCAAGGCTTGTATAAAAGTAGAGCCTTGAATGTACAGTAATTTCGTAATCTATATTTTATTTCTGGGGTGTAAAAATCTGTATGTTTCTGAGAATATCTGTGTTTTTCTTCCTTTCATTATTTTAAGACATTGATTGTACTGTACACATTTCCCTGGGGTCCAAACTTTCAAAGAATGCTAAATTCCAAGTATGTTTAATCCAGTGTTTTTCTTCCATTTCAAATTATATACTTTTTCTCATCATCACTTCAGTTTCCAGTTGAGGACTTTATGCCAAACATTTCCTTTCTAGACTGCGGTAAATATACTGTGCAGAAGAAAAATGGTGTGGCAGCATTGTTGTTTCACAATTCTAGGGCACTGGGTCTAATTCTGAACGTACTGTACAGTAGGCACCTGTCTTTATGGAGTCTGACTATTCTCCTCATGTTCTCAGAGGGTTTCCACCAGGTAATCAGGTTTCCTCCTACTAACTTCAAAGGCATGCTGGGAGGTTAATTACCTACTCTAAATTGTCTGTCCCCCGAGAAAGGGCACTACGCACCTCATTAATTTGTCACTGCCCAATGTTCGAATTCAATTATGGGTTTCTACAATACATTATTTATTTTTTGTGATAACACAACTACAGCTCAGTACAAGCAACAGATGATATACTGTAAGAGGGATAGGCTTGTATTGGTTGGTCCATTCCATTCAGATTTCTGATTTCCAGCTTGTTTGCATCTTGAAAATACAATGAAAAAAATACAATGCCTTCTCTTGAAAAGTGGGGTTGACATACTGATTTGATATACTGTACTCTCATTCTTCTTGGATATCAGCAGAACTGGGGAGAGTACAAATAATCACCTGCATTCTATACAGTATGTCAAGGAATGATATTCACTAATTTACTAAGTGCAATAATAATAACATATCTGCCAAGTTTAGCATCTGCTAGCAACTGATAGTTAAGTTTTTTTAACAATCTAACAAACTAGAGATGCAGGATGTCAGTAATTATTTCTACAAATCCATAGACATCTTGAAAGATGGAACGTACCAATACTTATACTGTACCTGCAGCTACATATAATGTAGTGTATATCAAATAATAAATCATAATAATAAAAAAATGTATACTATGTACATTATCTATGTCAGAACAGAACAACATAGGATTACTTTACTGTATGTGCACAACACTTTTCGAAAGCTGCACAAAAAATATGAATTTCTTATTAATAATAAACATCGCCTTAATGACCACATTTCATTCTCTGGAAGTGCATTTTTTGGAATAAAATAAGTATTCAAAACCTTACCTCGGAAGCAAAGGAAGGGCAAAATGCCCATCTAATTCTGTTTCTGGATTGTGCAATTTAAAGACAATCTACAGTCTCTATAGAGCTCCAATCGTTCATTGAGTTCTATTGCAACTGCAATAAAAGCACTGTAGTTGTGACACTACAACATATTTTGAAAGTAATATAAACATTAATAGAAACATACTGTATGTCCCAAATAGTAATATTTGGGAAAACATTTTCTTATTGTAAAATTAAAAAAATGATTTTATCATTAAAAAATGATTTAATCTTACATTAAACACAATTGTACAGCTGTCTTTAAAAAAAGTAACTGGATGCCGACTAGCATGACTAGCATGATGTATGTCAACACTAATTCATTTGTTACATTTTTAAAAAAAATAGAGGGTTATCTGTTCAGGCATGCAAAAATATTGGTAAGGCTGGAACTTAAGGGAAGAAAAATGAACAATGTTCTAAATGTCAGTTTCTCATTATATCACAGCCTGTTTCCGGACTTTTAGCCTCCATTTTTAAGGATTCTTTGTCAGTGAGCTATTTCTCAAAAGCTCTGCTTGTTTTTTCACCACCATAGCAGTCATCTGTCTTCCCAGCTTCATGTGTTGCTCAGCTCATTGGTTTTATATAAACTCCCCTCGTCACTGATTGCACATGGACTCATGGGCAGCTTTCCAGGCAACAGATTTAAATGTCCACTTGCTACTCTGCCCCATTAGAGTGAGCCCAGATATCTGACCAATACAACATGGATACTTTTCAGGTGAATTAACTTAGATGTCTTTAATAATATTCATTGCATACACTTATATAGTGTTATTCTGGACACTTCACTCAAAGTGCTTTACAGGTAATGAGGGCTTCCCTTCACCACCACCAGTGTGCAGCCCCACCATAGTGCGCCAGTACACTCCCCACACACCAGCTCACACTAGGGAGGAGAACAGAGTGATGAAGCCAGTTCAGAGTTGGGGATTATTAAGAGGCCATGACTGGTAAGGGGGAAATTTGACTAGGACAATGGGGTAACTAACACCCCTACTCTTTTCGAAAAAATGCCCTGGAATTCATGACCACAGAAAGCCAGGAACTCGGTTTTACGTCTCATCCAAAGGATGATCCGACGGATGGTGCACAAATACTTAATATATTTAGAAATATACATTTTTACACCAATAGCATAAAACCAGAGCATAAGTTCCTATGCATGTTAATATTGTCAGCGTGTCATAGAATGTACAGTAAGTAGAAAATAGGGAGTCTGTAACTGTTATGTGGTTATCCCACTCCCATATGCCCCCTATGTGCTTAGGAATCACCTCCAAAGTTTTGCATTTCCCATTCAGTCTGCTGCAGAGTCTTTGGTAGTTGGAGGTGAGGACCTCCAGTTCCGACTTCAGAGCTTCGTGAGCTGCAGGCGGCGCCTTGGCAATGAAGCTGTTCACAGAGTCCGTGAGCAGCTTCACCTTCACCTCCTTCTGTTGCACCTCTTCTTTCGCCCTCTGAAAGAACGACAAAGGCAATGACGGCACACATACTGTACACGAACACCGTAACGTGTCCTGAACTGTCTTCATGAGTCCTTTCATTATATGTGAGCTCAGTGTAGTACAGCGTTTATTTTGGTATTCCCATCTACATTGTATCCTTAATTAAACAGTGTAATAGATCCATTGTATTTGTCTAAAAAACGACACCCTCAATGTTGCTAAATTTGTGGGCGACACTGACACAGAGATTAAGAAATCTGACAATATACAGGAGCTGAAGAGAATATTTTCTATTGTTACTGTAACACAAATACACATTTCAGCTTTCACAAGGTCTTGTAGCTGGTGACGGATGATGAGTTGTAAGAGCTAATTAGCAGCAGAATTAGCGATATCTCCATTGTTATGACAGACCACCTGCATATTTAGCATATGGAAATATCCTTCCTCTCCACAACAAGCCCTATTCAACCAGCAGGCAGTCCAGGTTCCGCATGAGTACAGTTGCCACCACTACACCCTGCCTTCATCACTTTAAAACATTCAGAAAATTAAAATCTTCATGCTTCTCTGTTAATGATTGCCTGTCAGGTAAAAGAAACTCATTATGTCTCCCCTTGATAGAGTACGAAGCAGATGAGGAAGAGATGCTGGCTTGATTACGTGCTTGTATTTCCACAAAGGTCCTGACAAAATAAAAAAGACTTCCCATGGTCACAGGATTTCACCTTATTCGATGTTATGCCATCTAGGTTGGCAGAGACATACTGTGCAGTCAGAGACCACAATAATGCTTTCTTTGAGCTACAGCATTTAAATCACTATATCTGGAATGTGTATAATGTCAAAATTGATAACATGTTCTTATTCTGTATATATTACAATACAATATTCTTTTTCTCTGATATTTCAGTTCAGAGGAATGTTTTGTTTGCATTGACTTCTCATCAAGATATCCTATTTTTTTTAAAAAAAAATATGAATAGACCTACTGTACACGCCAAAATTTAATCAGCACAGAAGCAACTGCACCTGCAAGTTTCTTTTTTTTTCATTTTAACATGGACTGACATTCACTTGATAGCCCAATATTTCTTTGTCCAGGCAGTAAATGGGCTGAAATCTCATCTGTTAGTTTGAAATATGAAAGGGCACTTAGAAACAGATGATCAAGATCAACACAATACAAAGCAAAATGAGAGAAAGGACAGTAAAAAAATCTTTCTCATAAATCGGGGTTTCTAGCATGTTGAGATTTTGTACGTCTTAATCTGCTGAGTACCTTCAGCTCCTCAACTGCCTTCTTAAGCTCTTCCGGTGTCTTGTACTCAAAGTCCCTCTCCAGAAAGTCCTCCTCAGCCTGTGTGATCCATTCCTGCATCTCCGAAAGGTCCTTCCTCAAGCTCACTGTCTTGTCCAGCCCGCCTTTCAGGGCAGATTTTTTTGCATATGCCTTTAAAAGACAAAAGAGGATTCAATCATGATGGTCTTCCAAAACAGACAGGATTATGCAGGTAGTCCCAAACTTAAAATGTATAATTAGAATAAGGGAAAGGTTAATGAATATTAAAGGGCATGGTAAGACAGATCACACAGTTCAGTAAGGTGACTCCAGGGATGTGAACACATGAAAACTCACATGGCAACACTGTGCAATACAAAAGAGTATGCAAGTATTTCCAACAAAGAGACTCCAAAGCAGCCCCCTCACAGGCTACTGAAGAAAACCAACACAGTGAAGCCCATTATATACCCCAAACACTACTAATTAGACCCATGGGATTTCTAAACCCTTCATCAACTATTTATGAATCGCCACCTAGTGAGCCTATTTACAAGTGAGAGGGGCCCCTTTGCCACCTCTAGTGGCAGCTCAGCTGTTATTACAGTGTCTCCAAGGACTATCCTGCAACACATGTACATATTTGGAAATATGTTACTCATATCCATAAACTATCATTTAAGAACATTTTCTACTGCTATTTCTACTACAATGAACATGCTTATCAATAAATGCGTTTTATGGGCTATAAAAAATGAACAAATTTGCTTTACCAAATTTGTGATCTAGGGTGGTATCACCTAAAGTGATTTACACATTGTAGCAAAGCCGCTCGGATCAAGACAAAATTAGAGAACTGGCAAAAATCCAAATGCACCCACTTTAGAAGAAGCAGGCTTGTCAGGCAACAGAATACAGCTACCCACTGCTTTGTATAGTAGCTCAACGTCACCTTCATTCCTAAAGATGGGGTTTTCCCTCTGTACCTGTTTGCAGACATTGTCCCACTGGATATTGAGGTCCGAAATCTCTTTCTGCAACTTGCTGGCAAATGCCGGCTCTGCTTCCTTTCTCAGGGTCTGCCCCACATCGTTGATGCCATTCAGACTAGGCTGGATTGTGTTGATGTCATTTACCAAGGCCTAGAGAAAAAAAAACAGACATTTTCAGAAAATATTTATTATTTGTCTAAATGGTTTTTTGAGTCAACCCTGACTGTATCTGACTAATATGGCAGATCACGTTGTTTTTTTGGCAGGTGGGTGTTTTATTAGAATTCTTTGCTGGAAGGAGTAGTGTATGTTTTATTTACTATTGGACGCTGCATTGATTTTCAAAAGTTTATAGTGCCTTGCGTCAAGCTCCTGTAACAAATTACCAACTAACTAATTGCATTATTGATTATAACACACCTCTGCAAAGAAGTCCATTGTTTATGGTGAAGATGGTCATTCTGTTTGTGTCTGTTTCTGTTTGACTTAGTTTGTGCAGCTAAGGGGAACTCACCGTGAATTGACTGGGGATGTCAGGTGAAACAATTCTAAGCAGACCTGGCTGTAATGAATAATTTGTCAAATAAGGTGAATGGATTCATTTTCTAGATAAGTGTTATGAGTGTTTCTGCTGAACCTTTTAACATTAGAGACAAACAAAATTTGTAGATGAGCTGAGATGCTGCCCTCTCTTCATCAGTGCCCCTTGCCCTGCCCCTATTGTCTGTGCATTTGGGCTGTTTTTAGATCAGGCTATTTGCTCACACCAATGATTGTTACTTTGATGCTGTAAATAAGGCACTATGAACTTTCAGTGTTTCAGCTGCCGAGCACACTTAATTCCCTGCAGCCATATATAGCCACTTACACCGCCAGCAGCCATATCACCCTGCAACTCACAACTGGCAGCCCATTGAAGCTCAGCAGGGATGAGCCTGGTCAGTAAATCAATAGGAGACCACCAGGCAAGTTAAGGTTGCTGCTGGAAGAGGTGTTAGTGGGGCCAACAGGGGGCGCTCACCCTGCAGTCTGTGTGGGTCCAAATGCCCCAGTATAGTGACGGGGACACTATACTATAAAAAGGCGCCGTCCTACATGGAGACCTAAAACTGAGGTCCTCACTCACTGTGATCGTTAAAAATCCCAGATTAAAGTTGTTAGCCCAGCATCCTGATGAAATTTCCCATTGGCCTTTACCAATCATGGCCTCCTAATAATCCCCATCTAAAAATTGTCTAAATCACGCTATTCTCCTCTACACTGATAGCTGGTGTGTGGGGAGTGTACTGGTGCACTATGGCTGCCCTTGATTGTCCATGTGGGGGCTGCACACTGGTGGTGGTGGAGGGGAGTCGCCATTTCCTCTTTGAGTGGAGTGTCCAGAAAAGCGTTAATGAAGTAAAAGGAATTATTATTAATTATTACAGTGGTAAAGCAGCCTATGGCAGGATTGGCTTTAAACTGTTATTGAGGTGTGGCTGGTCAGTCCACTTGTCCACTCTCTGTTGCAGTACCTGACAAATAAAAGAATCTGTATCTGTGATGGTCATCAATATATTAAGTACCGTCCAAGGACCTACAGTATGTAATTTATGTTTGTCAATTGAATGATAAATATCCATTATCATTTCTTGATTACATCTCTTAATGCTCACTTTTGTATAGTTATGCTATTTACAGTATACTCCCTCAGCAAATGTTGTTCTTCCCATACTGAGCACAGGATCACTCTTGGGCTATCATAATCAGATTAACACATTTGAGAACGTGATATTAATCAGCCCATTTTGTACTGCAGTTTCCCAGAAAAACCGGGAGCCAACATCTATCAAGAATTGCGAGTGCTGTAGTTTGCTTACTCATTTTTTATTTACACAGAATCTCTGCAGCACAGCTCAGAATTGGCTCATTAATCACTTAATTGCTGCAAAATCTAAAGCTATAGATGTATACAGCACATGTTCAATATCACTCAAACCTCACTTCATTCACTTAACATAATGTGCTAAAAAAGAGACAAGAACAGCAGCTCCATCTGGAAATTAGGCAATTAAAAAAAATCCTCAGTAAAAGAGCAAATTGAGCGCAAATTTTCAGGAAATACCCAAAATGCATTTTAGCTTTTTTTCTCATTATAAATGAAACCCTACTGCACATCTGTAATTGTTAAATACTTATTTAAAAGCTATCATGGCATTATAATGGTGGAGAAGTCCTTACTGTCACAATGAAATAGAACTATTACTGTATGGACAAAAACATCACTAAAAACATTAGCGAGGTAAGGTGATTTTTACCATAATTAAGCTTTTATGTGCTGTATTAGTGTCAAAATGAATGCCATGTATTGTAATTAAGAAACAGTGAAAGCCAATAAAAGACATTTTTTTTAAATTTGTGAACAGAAGAAACAACTGACATTTATAATCACCCACTTAAAGTAACATGAAATCTCAGATGTTCGTTAGTATTATTGGCACTGCAGGAGCACCTTCAGAAACATACAGTACACAGATTGAAAGTAGCAAAAATGCTTAATTGAGAGCAAGACATACTAGCTTCTTCCCTTCTAGGTTTTTACGGATACAACACATTCATTAAAGCTATAAACTGATCAGTCTTTACTATTCTATCTCCTAGGCACAAAGGTAACACAATCATTATGGTACGGGTAATAAAAGAGTATCTGCTAGAGATTGCCCTGATATCCTATGTTTCCAACCTCCAGCCCTCAAATTAACTGCAGGGCTTACTAAGGGAGCACATGGATTTTGCAGCTTCCCTTTAATACCCTATGTTCATGCTAAACCAGAGAAAATACATCAAGATGTTCAAATCAGAGAATTTTAGAATTGGTCTATGGATTACAAATGGCTAAGTAGAAGTGACATTTTCCTCTAAAGCAATGAGTTGAGTATCTGAAATTCAGCAGAATTAGAACCTACGTAAAATTTTGTTATTCATTTTAAATGCATGAAAAGCATTGCATGTATAGTCCCTGTACTTTACAATCTTCAATAATTGGGGACTACGGTAGTTATCAATGGTGGTGACAGGAAAGACACATGGCAGTAACACACAGGGATGCAATTTTTGAAAAGGAGCTGAAAGGCTTGCCCCTCACCGTGCACTGTTCTAGCTGCTTCTCCAGGGCCTCTGAATCTCCCAGTGCAGGCCACTCTTCATTCAGAAACACATCAACCTCCGCCATCCATTTCTTCAGGGTCTTGGTGTCGTTCTGGGAAACAAAGGGCAGGCTTACAGAAATAAGGCACAGCTCACACACAATCATGATATACTGTACACGCTCACTTAAACACAACTTTGGATGCCGACTAAAGGAGTCCCTTTGGCCCCCTTTGCTCATTAGGAAGCTTACTAGCAAAGTAAGCTGGAAGAGACTTTGGGATTCAACCAACTAAACAGGAAGCCAATTTCCCACCACAACAAATTCAATTTTATTTTTCTACTGTGACACTGTTGCCTTGTTACTTAGTCAAAGATTTAATATACCCACATGACATTTCCTCTACATCTCCTTTCTTGGTGGCACCTCAAGATCTGGTGACTACCTCAAGCATAATGCAGGCATTCGACTGTGATTTCAGATTTTTTTAGAATGAAGGATTTTAACTCGTTTAATTTACCAATTTCTAACAACTGTCTGTGACCTTTCTCGCTATTCGTCTTTGAACTCTTTCTAAGCTTATAACACCCTTTTTTGCACATTGAGGTACCAAATGTAAATGCAACGTTTCAAAAGAAGATTCACTAGCATTTTGCAAAGCTTGGGCACAAATTCCTTTGATTTAAATTCCAATTCAAATATCAAAGATGTTGTAAACCTAGACGTTTAAAAGCTAATTCTTCAGAAGGAGTCATTTGTTCTTCTGAATCAGTAACACACCATTTTCTGTCACTTGTTGGAACATCAGCTCTGCTTCTAGATGGCTCAATCAGCTGTGGCCAGGGCCTGTTCTGGTCTGGGCACACACCATTCGCACTCTACACTGTTTTGTGTACACTACACTGTCTGTATGTGCTCTAGTTCACAGCTGTGGTTGCACACATCAATCACTGGAGATGCTGCCCCTGTGTGATTCCCTGTGACTGTGGACTACAGCCCTTTCTAGATCTATTCTTACGCCTCTACCGATGTGAGCTTAATCTCCCTATAGGGCATGTTGACTATTTCCTCTAATTCTGCTAAATCTGTCTAGCAGTAGAGATTAGCTAGCTGGATTTCAAGACCGGGGATCTTAAACTTGAGGTGCCGAAACATCTGATGGATTCGCAGATAACCCCTCCCTAGATGTCACTATCTGGAAAACCAATCAACCTGCAATGGCTTTTAGCTGCAGTTTCTTAGTACCTCTTTTTAAACATTTATTTAACTTTTCTGTAAGGATTTAGCTAATTTAATACTCAAGTGATGTATCATTTTCTTCTATGTTATACAGAAAATGTGTTGGTCATATAAAGATGTATAGTATGGTGTGTTTTTAGTATATTACTGTATTAAAATACATTAATAAATAATTATTAGTATATGGTTGGTTAAAAGAACATGCTCTATAAATGTGTTAAGACACGTGTAATCATTTTTAGCAAAACAGTATATTACAGTAATGTTTACAAGGTATTACAGTATTTTAAACAGTTATGCATTTGACATAATTTACATTAATTTACATGAAGACAGTGCTAAAGAAAGTCCTGACTATAGCAGATGACATAAGATCAGATTTGGTGACTACCTCAAACCTAATGTAATGCATTCAACTGGGGGGTTTCAGGTTAGATGACTTGTGGGTATTACAAAAATAAACAGTAACAATAATAAAATCAGCACAGCATTCCCCAAGTGATACTGTAGCTCCACAGCAATACGGAAGAGCAGATCATGTGAAGCTGCAGCTCATTAGCATCAAACCAGCAATTATCGGTAACCAGTGAAAAATGATCACTTAGACAATTAGCTATTGACTCTGCAGTTGAGAAGAACAAAGCACTTTTGCCTGACATGATAAATGTAATAAGTTTCAAACCCCTGCATTAGCAGGGGTGCCAAGATTTAAATTAGTGCTGTTTAGAAATTTAATAGCGTACGTACTGTAATACCAGCTTGTGAAGTGAGCCACAGCAACAAACAGTACACATCAACATGCAGAATGTTTTAATGACAACCTTTCCAAACTTCAATGCAATTTGACTGCAAAAAAATCCTACTGTGAAAGACTTTCTATAGTATCTTACTAAGTAAATTAAAAAAAAGAAAATATTTGCCTACGGTATGCTTTTTTTTAAATGTAGAAACATATTACACATTAACCAGTAATAATAATGTCATATTTAAAAGTAGTAGCTATTTAATTATTAAATTAATAATTAAATAATCTTGACAGAAAACCTAATAATTGGTTTGAGCATGTTTTCTGTGTGCCTGTTACTAGCATCTCCAGTGATGATCAGAAATTGGGCAGAACTGTTTGATGTTGTGCATTAATTTGGGAAATTTGGGAATTCATCTAATGACTTGGAGTAGGTTCTGTCAGCTTACCCACAGAGGACAAACATGACCTCAGAAGATGTGCACTTAAGAAACAGATTCCAAATGTTCATTATAAATATGAAGCACCTGTCATCCAGAATGATCATTAGCCTAATATAATGAAAACCATCATATGCTGAGGTTAATGAGTGAACACATACAACATGTCAAATGATGGGTAATTACCAAATACCCCCCCATAATTGAAGTGATTAATCCTTCATCGAGACCAGTCTATACACTGTAACAGGCACAGGAGATCACTGTTTTTTAGTCAGTACCTGCATCTTAAAGGAGGTTGTTCCCAAAATAATGAAAAATAAACTCTTACTTGGAACTGCTGAAGTTTGGTCATGAGTTCCTCTAGTTTCTGGGACTGTTCGCCCAGCTGAGCCGAAAGTCTCTTCCAGCGGAGCAGGATAGCCTCAATCTCCAGACGATATTTCTGACTGATCTCGACTGGAGCTTTCTGGCACAGCTCGTCCATAGTCGAGGTCAGGTAGTTGAGACCACTCTGCTGCTCTTGCAAGGATACCTGCAAAGCCTGAGCACGCAAGAAGAAGAAGAAACGTTCCATCAAAGCAATCTACTGACATTTATTCAAGGCATAACTAAATTTTATTGTATTACATTTAAAATGAGACTACTATGAGATTAAAGTCTAAATAAAGATGAAGATTTGTTCTGCATGTGATGTCTGCCATTTTCATCATTTAATTAATGAAAAAATTCTGCTTCTGCTGTACTTTAAAAGTACCCGTTGGGAAAACCAATTCATTGGTATTGCAACATTACGTTAGCATTTAAAACTGTAATACTGTTCAGTACCTAGGATAATTTTCAGTGCTGATATTAAAGGGCTTCACCCCATTTAAATGACTACTGGTGCTGTAAAACACTAACAGTGATGTGCATAATGTACAGCATACAGCATTCTGCACAATGTAGCTAAAGGACTATGGTCTTAGAGCAGTCCATTAGTTTAGCTTACACCTCCCCTGAGCGTGGAAAAGCAATGTTATTGCACACAAGGTCTGTCACAAACACTAACTTAACATTAACAACTTAAACCAATTATGAACGTGGGAGCCCCGTGCCTCCATTGTATTGGAAAGCTGGGTGTTAATTGATGATTCTGTAGCAGGAATAGTATAAAGGCAGAGCCAGGAGGTTCTGTTTCACTTCATCTGGTAGAAGAACAGTAACAGCCTGCTAAAATTCCCAGAGAGTTAATAACAAGCTATCCCTGACAATTTGGCTATAATCCAGAACATATCACTCTTATCGGTTTTTATACTGACCACTTTATATTATTTTCTGGCCTCAAGTGCTGTGCACTGTACAGTCCAAAGCTCAGAGCAAGCTCTTCTGGTTCTCATTAGTGACTGCAAAGCTTTTCCTGGTAATCCATCTCTGCTTCCAGCTTACTACTTTTCTATCACTTGACATGTATCACCGGACTCTGGCATGGGAATAACAATTTCTAAGTCGTAGTTCAAGACCTTCAACACTGGCTTAACAATGTTATAAAAAAAAGAACAGATTGTGCAACTGCTGTTTAATATTAATGTCTGCTATTAAAAATGCTTCATACTGTAATCTTAAGTATTTATCAAGGTTAAAGCTTGTAATCAAAGTTAGATCACTAAACCTACTGCACATGTACCTGTATAAGTGTATATATGTTGTGATCAGAGACCTACAGTATTTGCTGATGCGATGCTACACATTTTTATAGACAATTAAGCTGATGTCAAAATCACATGTCTGTGTTTTTTCATTAAAGCTTTGATATGGAAGGAAGGACAGAAGGAAAATTAATCACAACTAAGGACCACAGACAGAATTTTAAAAGCTGAAGTCTTTACCAAAAAGTCAGACCCAGTTTCACTGCCATGGTTTATTATAATAATAACATTATTAGATTAAACAAGTTCATTTAAAGTGAATGTTTTTAGGAAAAAGTGCATAGATTTGAGTTTTTGAATCATTATGACTTTTGGGTTTCTCAACATGTACTGTATATTTACTCCTGCAACATATAGTCTACATGCCTCTTTTCATTTTGCCAAAATCATTCTAAGGGAGACTAAATATTTAAACTATCAAGCAGATACAAATACACTGAGCCTGCTTTCCATGAAAATCTTATTTTAGGGAGGAAAGCTTTTTTAGCATTACATTTTAGAAGGCAGTATCCAAAGGTGTCTTTGATCACAGAGACTTGCATAGGATGAAAGGAGAATATCAGCAAACTTTGACACCTGTCATGTGTATCACCACCATAATCATTTCATTAAAATGATTTACTATAGAGAATGTATTTTTTTAATGTTTCTTATGTGATGTACTGTATTAAACATGATAAATACTAGGTACGTTATAAATTATGCAACTTACTGTATATGTGTAGCAATTTAAAACCTGGTGATGCTTTTGGAAATAGCTAATTTATAATTCATATTTATAACGCCTCGCATCCGCTACATGGGACTGTTACTGGGCAGCGGAGCACTTTTAGCAACAGACTGCTCCAGCTACGGTGCTCAAGGGAACGTTTCCGCAGGTCTTTCCTCCCGGCGGCTGTCAGGGTGTATAACACTGCCCTAGGCTTGGCCTGTTAGCCCTTCATCTGCTCGTCTATGGACAGCACGTTGCACTATTGTACTTTTTGGACACTGCATTAATATACTGTTTATACTGTGGTACTTTCAATCTGTACATACCTATGTGCATTTTGCACATATTTTATTGTTTTGCACTGACTATGAGCATATTTTGCACACATCTAACTCTATTTTATTTTGTATTGCTTATTTTAATTTTTAGTCTGTTCTGATGTCTGTTTTTGCTTGTCTTGGGCTGGGCTGCTGTAACACCTCAATTTCCTTTCGGGATCAATAAAGTCTTATCTATCAATCAATTTTTTGGTCCCTGTTTACAGTATGTCATTCACGTCTGTATTCAAAGACATGCCTTTCCTTCCATAACACGAAGCTGGGGACGCAGCGGTATGGTGATTGCAAAAGAAAAGCAGACCTTGATCTCCTTGAGCCTCTGCTCCATGGCTTGGTATTCAGTGACTGCAAACTGAGGCACGACCAGACGGCTCTCAGACTGCTGGATCCAGAAGAGAAGAGAGGTCACTGTCTCCCTGTAGCGAGCAGGGGGGAGGCTTTCCAGAACTAAGACAGAACAAAAGCACAAAGACACAGGCTCTATCAGGCTTCCCAGCATGCCCTGGTCTGATCGAGACATACAGTACAGGACTTCTGCTGTGGGTACAGCACACTAATCAAATAACATAACCACAACACTTTATTTTCTTACATCTGCCCTGTTATTCCTTCACTTCAGCATGCACAATTCTGCAACTAAGAAGGAGCCGGAGGCAGCAATGAAAGACACTCAAGCAAAATATGTTCAAATCTAAAACAAATGTGACAGTTCAATCATTGTTGAAATAGCCTCATTACCAATTAACAGACATATTATAAAACAATACAGTTTCCAAGTATTAAAGTAAAATAAATATTCTTATCTGCTTGCTTGGCCTCGAATGCAATTTAGAACCTAATAGATATTAAAACATATGTGGAAATGTTGTGGGGAAATAGAAAAATCCAATTATTTTTTGGTAATCTCATTTTCACATGGCATACATTACTATGTATTAGAGTGTTAAAATAACTGGCATCTTCAATCTAATAAACATTTCAGTGCATTCAAGAAGAACCTTTCCTTAATTTTCACTCTTTTTATTAATTAGAGACTGCTTATTTGTAGCTCTTAGGTGAATGAAAGCATTATTTGAAAACCTACAGTATGTGAGTTTGTGTCTGAAAGGCACAGCCGGAATCACTGGTGAGAACAGATACCACAGTAAAAGAGTGAATTTATTTGAGAAATCAACTTATAAGAGTTAAGTGAGTCTGGAACAAGCTAGACAGCCGTGTTGTTGAAGCCGATACCCTGGTTTCCTTCAAGACGTTGGTGGATGAGCCCTGGATCAATTATCAAACAGGCTAAATGGGGAGTATGGGGTCCTCCTAATAGTACCCCTTCTTCTGCTCTTATTAGGAGATGACTATTAGAATCATTTCACAACGATTGAAAGCAAACACTGAGCGGATTTAAAAAATATAAGGAGAATATAGTTAAGGAAAGAGACTATCCAAGGTGTATTTAAACTCCTGCACATATCGGAAATTCATTTTCGGTTTGATTTTATATTAAAGTAAATGACAATTATATCTGAGATCCTGTCCATGAAATGTTTACCTGAAGAATGTTGTATCTTAACAGCAGCCAACAGCAGGGCTAGGTTCAACATTTTTTTATTATTCTGTTTAGTCTTTTGCTTAAGCTTAAGTGTCTTATCCCCAGGTAGCTACTTTCTCTCTCATACACATCTTAACATTACAAAAAACAGTTCAATCATTATGATAAATGTAGACTATATTAAGTAACAGATAATTAGTTAAGTGGTAATAACATTAATGTTTTGTTGTTAATTCCACAAAGATTTCTAATCTTCTAGCCCTACAAATGGCTCCTTTAGCTGTCAACATTAAGAGGCCTCTGTTAAGGGTAAAAAGAAAAGAAGATACTCTTCATTAATCAGTATCAGCAAGGCTGACTAGCAACAGTAGAAGGGTGCTTAGTAAAGGCCACTGTAACAAATGATGAAGAAATAAAGACACAACTGGCACTGTGACAGATGTTAAAGGTGTAAAAAGACCATACTGTAAGTATGCACAACATCGAGAAAGGTGATTTCCTTGACATCTGTGGTATTGCAAAGGAACTTGTCATATTAGTAACTGAATTTATAGAAACAATAAATCTGTGCTTTTTAACTTTTAGTCATATAGTACAGCACCTCCAGTGGAAATTATAGTCACGTTTGGACACAATACACATGTATGATGATTTATTATGTATAAGCACAAACACAGCTGCCTCTCTGGTTAAAATGTGACTTTATTCTACAGGGTGATCTCAGGCATATTAAACTTTGGACAACATAAGAATCACGAACAAAGAAAAATAACATAAGAAAAATCACAAATTCAACACATCATGCTCACTTGCTAGGTTAGTAGCTATGAAAATCTAATTTTATTCCCAAGCGCTTGTCAAAAGTACATAGAGTAAGGACATTAATCACCTGATCGGTAAACCTGTTCCAGTCCTTGTTTCAAGACAGAGTGTAAAACAGTCCCCTGAGTTCACATTGTCTATAGGCCTTAGGATTTTGTACACTGGACTTGCACCAAATCTCCTCTCAATCTCCTTTGATCGCGACTCTAAAGAGTTAGCCCATTTTATTGCCTGTCTCTGTATGGCAATCCCTCAAATCCAGGAATGATTCTTGTTGCTGTTCTTTGAAATCTGAAGCTACAGTATAATATCTGTGGTACACTGACCGAAAACTGAACACAATATTCTAAATTTGTTCATGTTCCCCTTCATTTAAATTTTCACACTTTATACTTTTCACTCTATAACCAAGCAATCTGTTTGCTTTTTATTGCTTCCCTACATTGGTGTTAAGGGCTCATACAGCGGAACAATCTACATACTGTACAATCCTCAATCCTCTTCATGTGTTGCTTTCTAAAGCTCAGAATCACTCATGCAATATGTATGATGTATGGTACCTACTTCTGGTGTCACTTCACACTTCTTATTGTTAAATTTAATTTTCCAGTGTCAGCTCAATCGAACATTTTATCTTTGCATTTACCACACCCCTTTCTTTTGTATGACTCACAAATTTAACTAGTTTGCTTACTATGCTAGATTCTAAATTGTTGATACCCCTTAAGATGAGTCCTGCTCAAGTTTCTATTACTACAGTACCAGGTTCCTTAAGACAACTTTGCTGAAAAGCGCAGTGATTTGGTTAGAGCAGATATTACAAAGCTAATTACTTCCCCACTGTGTTTTTCCACAGACGTCTCATCTGGAGTGCAAACACAAACATGAGCATTGATATTCGATGTATGTCATTCTGCAGCTAATCATCTATCTTGTTCTCATCCTAGTCTGCTGATATTGAATTCTTATGTGTCCCCAAGATCAGACCAGTAACCTGGGGTCTTTTGTGTCCCTAGGAAGTCAAGGCTCTTAGGCTGCAGGATACTCTCCTCAAAAGAATCAGGGAACAAGATTGCTTGGATGGTTCTTCTTAAAACATCTATCCATTTTCTATCCACTGGGAGGACCCTGGCAAGAAAAGGGTGCAAGGCAGGGTACGCTCTGTGTGGGACACCAGTCCATCACAGGGCACACACAGACCAAAACACACACATTAACACCAGGGCCAATTCTTCTAGAAGCCATTAATCTACCAGTATGTCTTTGAACTGTAGGAGGAAACTGGAGCACCTGGAGGAAACCCACATGTAAATGGGTAGAATATACAAACTCCAAACAAAAAGCACCCTACAGTAGGTTCAGAATTGAACTCAGGGCCCCAGCACTCCAAAGCAGCTAATTGCTGTGCCACTCTTAAAGCAAACTGTATGTATTTGTTCAACAGTAAGTTCATATTTAATGTTATGAATAGCATTTTATCTACAATATTTTGTACAGTGTTTATAAATGTTCTTAATATGAAAAAACTCACTGTCAAGACAGATCATCTTGACTCTTGATTCCATACTTTGAATTATTATTATAGTACATTTTTCCTACTTGTCTGAAAAATGTCGACCATTGCGTTACGAGCTTTGTGAGAATTCTGTGTCCAATGTATAGTATTTAGCATTTTTCCTCCCGCTCAGGCAGTTGTGAGATACAGTGACAACAGATTGTTTCAGACAAATACAAAGCATCTTAATTAACCTTTGGTGATTGCTAAGGTTGTTGGAGAATTTTGATCTTTGACTTCTTCAAGAATGACAGAGTTTATTTAGCCATATGCTTGGGGCCATTGTCATGTCACAAGAAGCACCTCCTGACAATCAGCCAGTGACCTTGCATTGTGCTCCATTAGCTGCTCAGATGAGTCTCTAACAAGTTATATGAAATGCATATTTTTCTGTCCTCTTCGTTAAAAGTGTTTTAGTTGAATTCTGCTCATTGCTCTGACTATGAAGTTCATATCTGGATTTGCTTGCAAAGAGAAGATTTCCAGATTTGATAAACAGTTATCAACAGTTGTTTCCCTTTAAAGAATTGAACTTCTGCCTCTCCTCAAAAATAACTTCCAAGCAGCTACAATTCATTGAATCGCTTTTTGCTCTCATTTTGTATTTACCCATCTTGAAGAAATGTTCATTCTTGCACTTGTCACAAAGTCATGTTTGTCTATGGATTTGTTGCCTAACACAATGAGTCTTTTCTTTGAGGGTCTTGATGTGAGTTTCGAAGAGTTTAGGTTTTACTCTTTGACCACATTTATTGTCACTGGCACCATTTCACGAACACCCGTCTGTGTTTTATGGCATTCTCATACTTGGCTAGTTTAAACCAAACCCGTTTTGGTTCATCTGCTTTAAAACAATGTATAAATATGCCAGCAGCTCATAGTTAATATAACAGCATCGTTTTTGATTGGAAGTGGACTTATTTAGTCCAGAGTTATTTTTCTTGGTGAACTTAAGGGCACTCAATGTTTATATATTTTCAATTAACATTACAATATATTGTTAGCTGTGAAATGGAGCTGTGTTCTCGAAACTGTGTACGTAGAAAATGTATTTTTTTTCTTCTTGATATTTCCAGTAGGCAAAATTAACCATTCTTTGTTAAATTTTGGAGATTTCTTACAGGGAGAAAACTTCCCTCCAGGTCACAGCAGTTTAGAGAGCATTTTTGTTCAGAGGAGGGTATTTAGTTTCATAAGAATTGATGTGCCTTTCCATATTCTGGACCTATACTGGGCAGTATACACTAGTGGGATCTGATTGATTTGGTAAGACCAGGTGTCTATGTTTTAGTTCTGCTAAAAAGGTAGCTTTGCCAAGATATTGCCACATATTACGAACATTTGCAAATAATAATCAGTGTATTTTGTGTTGTGGTGCTATGTCTATTAGATGTCTGTGTCTCCAAAGCTGTTGCCTGTTCTTTTACTCTGGAAAAAAGACCCTACATGATCTCCCTTGACATTCCCTTACTAATAGTGTGTTTTATTAAGTTACACATTTGCTTGCTAGGTAAGGTGGTGTCCAGA